ACATTTTAATCGACACAAATGTATAACATACTGAACAACATTCCCAGTCATAAATAATCCTATCTGATGTTATACTGACAAGGTTACGTGGAGAGATCATCCTGGTCAACATAGTAACCATTCTGTTAGGATAGGCTTAGGTCTGGCTTATGTAAGACGTTGGCAACATTGATACGTTTCTTGCCTCTTTAAACAACGTGTAATTGATTACACTATCCTGAGATACCATCTGTCAGCATAACCTAATTCAAAAGCAGGCAGGGGTCTGTGTACAAGTCAATAAGAAGATGGTTGTATCAAAAGTTAACACTATGACATAATGATTTTCCGCAGCTTTCCCAATGATTCCAGTCGTGGATTACTGAAAGGTAAATTCATTTTGTACATATTGTGTTCAGTGTCAACATTCTTTTCTTTTCTTTCTGAAGATAGACAAAGACCGTTTCTTACAGACGGTTTGCCAAGCCTTCTCTAATGATCAGTTGTCAGTTCATACGAAGTGTGTGAACCCTCAACTGAAGGTACAATCACCTGTGCTGAAATACAAAATCGAATGAGTAAATCTCCAATGTGTGACAATATGTGTCTTGTAAATATAAGTATGAACAATCTCATTCACTCAATATACTCCGAGATCCAAGGCACCTGAACGTATAGCAAAGCCTTGTAGGGTTCGCAAAAAATGAAGATCTGCATGCAGTGGGAATACACTAGGGACGTACTACAGAGGAATATCGGGGTATTGGGAATATCACAGTATTAGGAATATCCGGGTATTGAGAATATCATAGTATTGGGAATATCATAAAATTGGGAACACTACATCATTTTGGAATATCACAGTATTGTTCATATCACATTAGTTTGGAATATCAGAGTATTTGGAATATCAGAGAATTCGGAATATCAGAATATTGGAGAAGAGAATATCACATTATTTTGGAACATCGCGGTATTGAGAATATCACAGTGATATAACACTCCAGCAAGACATCAAAGATTGGGAAGTATTTGTTCTCAGAAGAACAATCTGCCTTCGTGGAATTCGTAGATAATATTGAATCATTTAGTTGATCATGTGACGCACTAGTCAATCATAGTGCTCCATGTTTAGATACATTGCAATGGTGGTGTTTTCCTTGATATTTGGCATCATTATACATCTGCACGGATGTCTTTGATTACCACTTTCCAAGGATACTGTCGAATATGTTAATGATTCATGTGTACTTGCTACCATGGACTGCAGTCTGTACGAAGTATACGATTAACGTATCAACTGTATGTCTTACCCGCTAAGCGTGGTTCAAATGTATGGTGGGTATGTGAAACTGATACCAATACCAACTGCATTGTAAGAACAAAAGTCTCAACTGTTAGTTTGTCATGTACGCCCCTAGTGTATAACACTGTTGCATGGCAGTGTTATTTATATTCATTGTTTCAAGTGCAATCATTGTACATGTGATATTCCGCGAGGAGCAGGGATGTGCTATGTTTACACTTGTGATGCAGTCCTATCCCCAGTGACGCTTGGAACAGTGTAGAAGGATCTGGTAGTTTTTGTGTTTGGTATAGAAGGGAAGTGAACCTTTTATCAAACATGACATCTCTTCTTACAAGAACACCAGCATTGTGTGTTATGATCATATGCCCTGGAGTATACTGTCTAGCAGCAAGTTAGTTTTTGTCTTAGGTATAGAAGGGAAGTGAACCTTTTATCAAACATGACATCTCTTCTTACAAGAACACCAGCATTGTGTGTGATGATCTTATGCCCTTGAGTATACTAGGCCCTAAGTATTTTAGGGGATGTAGTCCAGTGGTTAAAGTGCCCGTTCATCGAACCGAAGACCCGGGTTCGATTTCCTACATGGGTACATTGTCTGAAGGCCATTTCTGGTGTCCCCCGCCGTGATATTGCTGGAATAGTGCTTAAAGCGGCGTAAAACTAAACTCACTCACTCACTCATTCATAGGAAGGGAAAAATAAATCCATAACATACCACACGTAAAAACAAAATTGCCGAAAATATTAAGCGTAGGCACGTGCCTAAAGTGCCTGATGGTAGGTACGCTACTGGCTACTGAGAGGTGAATATTGCCACTATTGCAATTATCACTGCTCTTGTGTTATATTACGTTTGATATTGTACAGCTATTCTATTCAGTAAGTCTGGCTAAAAGGATTGATAATCGGAAATATCGTCGATAGGAAAAATTATTAATGATTATCGATAAGAAAATTGTGCTATCGATAAAACCGTATATCAACTTTTGTGGTAGAAACAAAGGTATAATTTTCTCACTCAATATTCAATTTTAGGACTTTATTCATGAACTGCTTCTAAATAAAGTTCAGAACTCTGTTTTGTTAATAATCCATGCAAAACATGTCACCACTCACCACTGATGTCATTTCTTTTAGACATTTTTGGCATTTTCTGCTCGAAGTTATGTCTCCGATATTTATCGATAATCGATCGATATTTAGTTAACGATTATCGATCCCTATGTTTATATCGATAGCCAGCCCTACTATTTAGTACTGTCATGGTGATACCTTTGTGCTTAATTTGCATTGATGTGTGAACTTGGTTTATTGTCTAATACAATTTTTAATCACATGTACGTCACATTTTGTCGTTGTTTGTTGGTTTACACCTTGTTCATGTGCAGGCTGATTCCTTGTTACCTGTTTAGCGTCAGCTTGGGAATCAACACGACCCACATGTCCCACAGTCAACAAGTGTTTGACGAGAGGGGATACCTTAGTCATAAATAACACACTGACAACTCCAGATAACAATGGTCAATCGATCAAGGTATGATCGATTAGTGGATCGATCACTATATTCAGCGTCAAAACTGATCATTCCCCAGCCACGTGGATATTGTAGAATACATAGATTTCAACACTCTTAGATCGAATAATTACCCAGGACGAAAGAAATGCTTACAACTGTTTGTTATATATCCTAGACACCATCATCCGAATAAACACACACATCAAGGGCAATGATAAAGGCTTATTGTGGAGCGCGTATTGACTTAGTTCGTATACTATTTGTCTGACAATCTACAAGAGTGGGGCTGCGACACTATACAAAATGGTCTGAATGAGGACAAAATACCACTGGGGTTATACTGTGAAGGATAGGTGACAACGTGGTCATAGTGATTGTTATATAACATCATGCATGTCAGCTGTCTGAAACATAAGTATCGAGGTCATGGTCTTCGAATGTCATTTACATTTGGGGTAGCCTAGTGGTTAAGCGTTCGCTTCTCACGCCGAAGGCCTGGGTTCAATTCACTACATGGGTACAATGTGTGGAGCCCATTTCTTGTGTCCCCCGCTTTGCTATTGCTGGAATATTGCTAAAAACGGCGTTAAACCATACTCACTTACTCACTCATAATAGCTGAATCATGTTGCAATCACCCCGTATGTGATTGGCTGTGTTGAATAAAACTCTTTTCAGGAAATACATTTTCTAACAACAACAAAAAAAATTTATGTAACATTATGGAAAAATGTCACTGTAATAAAGGTAAAGACAATAATATTTAATTTTGTGACACGTTATATTTCTTGGACAAATTTTCTCAACTTAAGTCATTCGAACAATGCATGCGAGTAGGCCACAAGGGTAAAGTTTAACTATCCTGTGTTAGTCTAGCGTGTTGCAACTTCGAGACATCGAAGTTCAGCAAGAAATACCTTAGTGCATTGGCTATTTATTTGTGATGATCAGGAAATATATCCCAAATGGTTGTTCTTGTTAAATTTATGTACGTGGTGTGTCGGCCAACTACGCTCAGACACATGTAGATGCTGTTTTCACCTCTATAGTGTGAGTCCGGTACATATTCTATTCATAAGAGTGGAAGGTTTGTGTTTCTCGATATGGGTCGTGACAGGATCAAGCCATGCTGGAAGTTCTTGCTGATGTAGCTCTTCAGGAACCTTAGAGAAACTGGCCAAGTTCATGTTATCTACATGTATTAACCATTGGTACTTGTTTGACCATTGACATCATTTCGGCAATACTGAAATCTCTACCTTCTTGCTCTTTGAACCCGTGAAAGTCCGGGTAAGAATGAACCTTCAGTAACCCATGCTTGTCGTAAGAGGCGACTAACAGGATCGGGTGGTCAGGCTCGCTGGCTTGGTTGACACATGTCATCGGTTCCCAAGTGCGCAAATCGATACTCATGCTGTTGATCACTGGATTGTCTGTTCCAGACTCGATTATTTACAGACCGCCGCCATATAGCTGGAATATTGCTGAGTGCAGAGTTAAACTAAACTCACTCACTCACTCTTGCTCTTTGAGTTTGCACTGCCATACATGCCGAGCAGTATGTTGTAACTATGTGGAATTCATATGTTGTAAGAAGACATCAATGACTTTGAATGCAGTTATGTTGCAAATGTGATGCCTCGATGTCCTGTTGATGTCTGTAAAAGTATACTCTGATATGTATTTATATTCAAAAGTGCTTTTGTTAGTTCACCTTCAATGTCCTGTGTTGTTTTCTGTTATGAGTGTGTTTGTACCTATCCCGACCTGTGTGAAATCCTTCCTGATTTGCTGACAGCTGAAGTTGACACCTTCCAAAACGTTACAACTTTTTCTTGCTATGGGTTGTCAGATTCTTAAATGAAGGTAGGTTATTTATGTTCGTTTCGTTGTTGCTTACCTCCCATTTTGTAATTTTCCAGTTACATGATGTATGTACATGTAAATAATCGAGTATGACCAAGAGATTAATATTGCGAGCAAACGTCCAAGATATGATGACACGTCTGTATCAACCGTGTCACGGAACATGACCACCAGATTCCATCCAGGCACCAGGATCTCATATACAAGCACGCACGCGCGCGCACGCACACGTACACGAACGCACGCACACGCACGCACACACACACACACACACACACACGAATGCATTGTTAAAAATAAAGGTGGTTGTACAACAGTATTACAAACTTCAGCAAAATCACTCTTTATGTAATGAATTCAAACAAAATGAGAAAATAACTTAATTTAACAAAGTCAATTGTTGGGCAGGAGAAAGTATACACCCATAGAGATCGCCCGTTCTGGGGATGGTTTTCCGCCAAATAACGCTGTTATAAGGTGTATGATGTTTAGGACACGTCGTGTTTTCAAATGCATGTTTTCTTTTCCCGGTGATTATATAAAACTTCATTTGTCATTAATAGACGATTTATGCAAACACACTTGAATTCATTATATGCTATTAGTAGGATTGGCTGCAAAGAGAAACAGAATTGTTAAAACAGAAAGTACATGTATCACCTTTAGATCACATCAGCCGTACATACACACACGAGAAGGCAAGTCAAAGTTTTAAAAGTGTTACAAGAATAAGAAACTGACAATTGCAAGAATGTGTTAATATTGGAAACGGTTTTGCTGTAGCGATTGTAAGCGGGCTCTCGACCAAACAATCAAGTGATGAACAATGCTGCTGTTATACAATCACATATGTCGAGCATGTGCAATCATCATTAGAAATTCGACAGTGGGGGCAGGCTCATTGGTCACCTCTACTTCTCATTCAGGAGACTAAATCAATGTATGTATACACTTGACTGCATTCGCAAATCTTTCACAAGGTAAGTAGGTTCTAATACGGTGTATGGACGGAGTAACGGGGAAATCGTATGTGCAACAAGAAAATAGAGGACTTGAGAATTATCTATTCTTATAAAGTACAAAATATTGTGTTACACTGTGTTTCTGTAACACCCAAACTACAAGACCTTTCACATTTGGAACAACTGATACTGTGTATATCTAGGTTCAACTCAAGATGCCTATTGTTAAGACATCATTGCAGTCTTACTTGTCATTTTACTGAATCTTTAACGGAATTCAGTACATTTTTAGAGAAACATATTCATTGTATTTATTTCTGCAAACCACAAAAGAATTACTGATAGTGTATTTATTATATATGAAAGGTTTTGGTGGTTAACAATTATTAATTTTATTCCTCTTGCAAATAGCATGTCACACAGATGATTCCTTATTCTGACGAAAAAAAGCTTCGGAATCATTAACATTTTCGGGATATTTTCTGCAATAATGTCTGAGCAAACAATCGCATGAAACCAAATATGCATGCATCCTAACTTGTTTTGGGTAGTTTATGTCAAGGATACGTCTACATGAAAAGTCCATACACCAGTAAGACAGACGTGTGTACAAGCAGTGTTCCACTGGGTAGGATGCCCATGCCACTATCTATTGGAGGGTTTCCTGCCCAGTATGCTGGTGGCATAGGTTCTGGATCCTCTAACTCCTCAGATGATGGCAAGATGCTTGCCTCGTCCTCCTCTTCGGTTTCCTTTGGTGCAGGGATCTTCGGAAAGAATCTTGTTGCATGCTTCTCTGAAATGTCAGCCTGTGCAGCGAGTGTTGTGAAGATCCTAGCATGCTTCCCAGCGACCTGCGTTTGCGCAGTGGATTTTGGCAAAGGATCTGTAAAAGAGTTTAAAAGGTAGATTGTTCTTATGAAATTTGTTATGACCAGATTTACGATTTTAGTATTTTCGCATTTATTACGTCAATTATCAATCCGACAAACCATCTGATATTCGTGGGTATTTGGTTTACAACTGTTTAAGAGTACGTACAGTCGACAACTGAGATGACTGTTGTCGTAACCTCCGTGTCCTCTGAACACAACATGGGACGATCCGTGAAGCATGCGTGCACCTTGCAGGAGATGACGAACTGTACGGGAATAAAATTAGTGAAGGGAAACAAGAAAGTGAATTTGTGTTTCATAATAACAGTATTAGTGATATGATGGTGTGTGTGGGAGGAAATCCGGACCTAATCCATGTCTCACACCTTTACCAGTTTCGACTACTCAGCGAGCACGGTATGATTAAATACGATTAAATCAGGATTTAACCAAATTCAGGATCAACAAAATATTAGATTCGAAGTCAGGATCATTGCTTTCTGGCTCTCAGCGATATGTCTTATGGACGGTTTAGGTGCATAGTAGATTCCATCCCCTTAGATGTGTACAAGCGGGGTCCTTCTTAACGTGGGTGACCGACGTCAACAGTTCTTCCAGGGGGTTCCGTTCACCAAATCTAGCCCCGTGAACATTCACCAAATCTAGCAATACACTGACCTTGAACATTGATTACTGTTATACAGATAGATCCCATTACCGATACCTAGAAAGAGTCATACAGTGAGTGAGTGAGTGAGTGAGTTTAGTTTTATGCCGCACTCAGCAATATCCCAGCTATATGGCGGCGGTCTGTAAATTATCGAGTCTGGACCAGACAATCCAGTGATCAACAGCATGAGCATCGATCTGCGCAATTGGGAACCGATGACATGTGTCAACCAAGTCAGCGAAACTGACCACCCGATCCCGTTAGTCGCCTCTTACGACAAGCATAGTCGCCTTTTATGGCAAGCACATGGGTTGCTGAAGACCTATTCTATCCCGGATCTTCACGGGTCGAAAGAGTCATACACGACAGACACGCCATTCTACTTCTGTATGAACAACAAAGAGTTGCTATACTTGGTAGGTATTTCAATCCTTACCAAGGTAAAATGCATTTGAAGCGGTGCCTTGAATTCCAGCACAATGCGACCCCTGTGTCTCCTCACGGTGAGTGTATCCTCGCTAGGAATGCTGGAAAATAGTAATAAATATACGTATGAGTGCAATGTACCTCTATATTGACAACCTTAACCAGATAATGGTACTACCTGTTCCATGGTTGCCAACAGTGACGCCTTAACTGAAGAGCGGTTTCAGATCTGTGTTGTTTGACATGTGCTACCTAATTACAGATCAATGGTGACCCACACTGACAACAACAGTCTTACCAGAACAATTATATATCCGCCATGACCCACACTGACAACAACAGTCTTACCAGAACAATTATATATCCGCAATGATCCACACTAACAACAGTCTTACCAGAACAATTATATATCCGCCATGACCCACACTGACAACAATCTTACCAGAACAATTATATATCCGCCATGACCCACACTGACAACAGTCTTACCAGAACAATTATATATCCGCCATGACCCACACTGACAACAACAGTCTTACCAGAACAATTATATATCCGCCATGATCCACACTGACAACAACAGTCTTACCAGAACAAATTATATATCCGCCATGACCCACACTGACAACAACAATCTTACCAGAACAATTATATATCCGCCATGACCCACACTGACAACAACAGTCTTACCAGAACAATAATATATCCGCCATGACCCACACTGACAACAACAGTCTTACCAGAACAATTATATATCCGCCATGATCCACACTGACAACAACAGTCTTACCAGAACAATTATATATCCGCAATGATCCACACTAACAACAACAGTCTTACCAGAACAATTATATATCCGCAATGATCCACACTAACGACAACAGTCTTACCAGAACAATTATATATCCGCCATGACCCACACTGACAACAACAGTCTTACCAGAACAATTATATATCCGCAATGATCCACACTAACAACAACAGTCTTACCAGAACAATTATATATCCGCCATGATCCACACTGACAACAACAGTCTTACCAGAACAATTATATATCCGCCATGACCCACACTGACAACAACAGTCTTACCAGAACAATAATATATCCGCCATGACCCACACTGACAACAACAGTCTTACCAGAACAATTATATATCCGCCATGATCCACACTGACAACAACAGTCTTACCAGAACAATTATATATCCGCCATGACCCACACTGACAACAACAGTCTTACCAGAACAATTATATATCCGCAATGATCCACACTAACAACAACAGTCTTACCAGAACAATTATATATCCGCCATGACCCACACTGACAACAACAGTCTTTACCAGAACAATTATATATCCGCAATGATCCACACTAACAACAACAGTCTTACCAGAACAATTATATATCCGCCATGACCCACACTGACAACAACAGTCTTACCAGAACAATTATATATCCGCCATGACCCACACTGACAACAACAGTCTTACCAGAACAATTATATATCCGCCATGACCCACACTGACAACAACAGTCTTACCAGAACAATTATATATCCGCCATGACCCACACTGACAACAACAGTCTTACCAGAACAATTATATATCCGCCATGACCCACACTGACAACAACAGTCTTACCAGAACAATTATATATCCGCCATGACCCACACTGACAACAACAGTCTTACCAGAACAACTATATATCCGCCATGACCAACACTGACAACAACAGTCTTACCAGAACAATTATATATCCGCCATGACCCACACTGACAACAACAGTCTTACTAGAATAATTATATATCCGCCATGATCTATTTTGACAACAGTGGCCTTATTAGAACAATTACAGATGCGTGGAGGTCCTACATTATCAGGACACAAAATATCCACAAGGACCTCACAAGGCAATTATAGATCCATAATTAGCTATGAACACCAGTACAAAATACAAGGATTTATTATCAGGATATTCAAAGATTTGCAACTGCTCTACTTTGACGGCAGCCTCCCGACACGTACCCATTTCTTAGAAGCTCAACAAAAGGTTTGTCATCGTTCCAAGGGTGTATCCGGCATGTTGTAATATGAATACTCTGGTTCAACTCCGACGTGTTAGGATCTGTTTCCATGGTCATGTGGACCGTCTGATTCCGATAAAGGTCCGGACGGGGCCCGAGGTCTGAGGTCAGGGCAGCTGTTTTCCAAAGTGCCAAGTGCATCACTGGTTTGGTCGGGGGAGGTGTGTGCTCGTCACGTGTGCCTGCGGCTATGGTGGGTGCTGCTGTGGGCGTCAGGTCAGAAACTGGTAACGCCGGTGGTGCTTCCTTCTGGCTTCTGTGAAGACTGGTCTTCTCTTCACTTGGACGCTTACTCTTCTTCCGGCCAGCTGGGACTCCGTGATGTACGGGGTCTTGAGGGGCATCAATGATGAATTCATAAGACAAGTTAAGCATTTCATTAAGTGTCAGTAAAATGTGGACGTCACAATGTGTATGTCAATGCCGAGCGCCAGGCAGGGACCAACAAGGCCGGGGCGCAAACCTCCAAATCCCACGTGGGTTCCAAATTATCCCCCCATTGGCTACTCCTCAGCAGTGTAGATCTTATCTGCCCATGAGTCACAGGACTGTAACGGCTATGGATGCCTGGCAAGAGCCTGATTGGACTCTGGGGATGTCAAAGGTTAAGCTTGGAATTTACTACTAGAACAAACATGTGCCTGATAGTGAATGTCCAACAACCCTTCCCTTCATTTCATGACGACAAACATGTGCCTGATAGTAAATGTCCAACAACCCTTCCCTTCATTTCATGACGACAAAAAGTACAGACTCATGCAGTATTAGCAGGCTTGCTGGTCTCTGCCTTTAGGTGTGCTTTCACTTGTTTCAGTTTTTGGAGAATACCTTGCTTGACTTGCTTGGTCACCAGGTATTTCGATTGTAAAACGAGCACTTCGCTTACTTGGATTCATCTTGTGAGGAAATCAGTATGGTCAGCCAGATAATGAGACATGTCAAGCTTATTCCGATAGAAGGAGTTAATGAAGTGTGATCTGACCCACAAGTTAGCATACTAAAACTAAGCAAGGTTCATTTGAGGCTTTAGGGGTTTGGGTTTTGAAAAGTACAGAATGTTATGTTACTGCATTTTAGAGAATCTTATGTTTTTTTAAAGAATTAAGGACATCAAGGTTTACTATAGAAGATAATTAAATTTGCCTACTCGATGTGTTGATAATAATAACAAGGATACCAAGCCAATGTCACCCCTCTGGGGGGAATCAAGTGTTCCACTCAGTGTCAAGAGTCAAATCAGTGTACAATCCGCACAGCTGGGGGTCAGGGGAGTGGAGGAGGGCATCAGTTTCTCTGACTGCCCGGGAAGAAAGTGAAATATGAAACCATGAATGAAGCTTTAACTTCCACTCAGAGGTCTGTTTCTATGGAAACGCACCTCCCCTGGCCTCCTGACTGATACAGTGGCAAATTCAAATCTAGATTTCAAAAAGAGATTATATATTGTTAAAATGCAGGTTTTGTACACTGTCTGCATCAACACTTTTTGCTGTGTGTCTTCATAACATTACTTGTTTACACTATGGCTTAATTTCATCAAGAACCGGTAAGTCAAGTTTGTGATATTTCATGGAATGTACTTGAATACTGCATTGCTTTGCATTGAAAGACAGCTTTGGAAAGGTATGATCTGTGTATAGGTTTGAACCCCGGCCTTTAAGTCATTGATGCCCTATATTCGAAGATTATGTAAACTTTTAACTGTAGACAAATCATTTCATACGAAGCCGGTAACGGTCTGGCCTATATACCTTGAAAGAGATTTGTTGATAAATTGAAATGAGAACACTTGTCTGAAGTGTATATAAAGATATAAGTGTGCAATATGAAACATAATTTGTCTCTAACAGAACAAAAACTAAACAATAATAACGTGAATCAAAACCCACGGCCACATCCTAGCACGCCCACATCCTCCGCACCTACGCCCTCACATGCGCGCCTGCAGCTTCGCAACAACCCTCCTAAAACCATCTCTTACACACCTACGTGTTAACTCGGGTCAATCTCAATTACGTCTGTGTCGAAACTTTGTTTTTTAAAGTGTTAATATATAGAGAATCTCACCCAAGTGTCTACTGATATCAGTTATATCAACACGAGTTGAAAAAATTACAAATATCCGAGGCTTGGCGAGAGTTGATATATTTGATATCAGGTGAGGTGAGGTGAGGTAAAATGGGGTTTAACGTCGTACTTAAGAATATTTCGCTCATATGACGACGTGCATGCGTGTGTATGTGTGGCTGCTTGTACTAGCCCAGACTGAAGCTGGTTTTATAGTGCTAGCCCACTGAGATACCATGCCGCAGTGAAGCATGAATACCCTACTCTGACACATTATACTGACTCCGAGCCGACCAGTTCTTGTACCCATTAATGCCGAGCGCCAGGCAGGGACCAACAAGTACCATATTTTAACGTACTTGATATCAGAAGCCACGAGGATGAGATTCTATTTATCATAAAAAATCACTCTTCATTAGTTTTCAATAAAAAACTGTACATCTGTGAACACGATACTGCCTTTGGACTTGCAGTGCAGTGATGTCATAGCATTGTGACGTCATCAAGTTCATGACGTCAAAGCATTGTCAGGGTATTGTACAAAATCCACTGTCAAAACGATATCCCTAGGAGGCATGGTTTGATCTCAAACAAGCAATATCTCCAGTGGAACACAGTTTTTAGGTCTTATCAAGTTTTCATTGACACCTTTGCGTGGACAAGCGACAAAGTGTGCATGTAGGGTCATACTAGGTTTGTCTAGTAAGGAATTTTCAGGATGAGTATTTACAGTTTCAAACATCTCGTTGTAAGTGAAATGATATCGAACAGACACAAGTGAAACTATCTGGAAATTCCCGACTAAGCTAGTGACAATATATCAACTCACAGTTGTCAACAGTGTCAACTGGGTTTATGACTACAGTCGTGCTGAGAGTGTCGTCAGTGGTGTCCCTCTTCCTGCGGTAGTTGAATCGGTTCAGACAGGTAGGACTACTTTCCCCCAAGTCACAGGCAACCGCCTTACAGTGGATTCTTATCTACAACAGATGCAGGAATAGCATTGTCATGTTAATCATTGCATTGCCATATCATGTTATGTCAGTTAACGCCATGGCAGTGGACAAATGTCAAATAAAGTCAATGAACATTAATTCACGTGACCATTGTCCACAGCAAAATGCTGAAAGGAAAAGACAAATAAACTATACTCATGCCAATAATGGTTGTCACCCCCTTCAAAAACTTATAATTGGAGGGGTGGGGATTAGGGGTGGGGGGAGGGGGTGACAACCATTATTGGCATGAGTATATAATTATAAATAAATTGCATCTTTCTGCACATGTCGCAGTGGACAATTGCCTCAGCATGTCAATGAACATCCAGCGGACCATTATCAACCTGTAATTATGAGGCGACTAACGGGATCGGGTGGTCAGGCTCGCTGGCTAGATTTACGCATGTCATCGTACCCGAGTTGCGAAGATCTATTTCCAGGCTGTTGATCACAAGACTGTCTGGTCCAGAGTCGATTATTTACAGACCACCGCCATATATCTGGAATGTTGCTGACTGCGGTGTTAAACAGCAACACAGTACAACATGTAAGGAGTAGCACGTTCTCCTAATATTATATGAATATAAAAGTTAACTGCCATACAGCTGATTATGTGTCCTACTTGTAAATGATAACAAAATGTAGTCATATCACCTTGTTGATGACCCCGAACTGGAACACTCTGTACTTGAACCCAAACCTTGTGCGGGATAAGCGGTACCCGACCAGAGTGTTCTCCTCAGCTGTCCTGGAACAAAGATTGGAGACAATCTGTGGACATAGCTGGGCCACAGTACTGCAACCCTTGCCCGAGGAGTACGAAAGAATAATGGTGCAACTTTGGGAGCATAAATAGCGACATTTCTTGTTTTTCAAATATATAATAGGCACATAAAGAAACTCATTCTCTTCCCACAGAGGTTACTTGTCATATCTTCCTACGAACCTCTGTTCTAATACGGCCATATTTCCCGGTTCTCGTAAAATCCCCTAGCGGCAAAAGATCGCAAAACGAATTATCTCCCTTCTTTCTATACAATCAGAACACGTGTTACATCGACTTAGATTCAACTTGACTAACACAAGCAAATGTGGGGCCACAAATATTCCCCATCTGCCGGGGACTTGTGTTGATGTTACACACAAGAAGTTTAATGGCTAGCTTGTCCGTTGTCAACGAGGGCGATGGAGACGCCACTGATCCGCCATAACATGACTGAGTTCTGTCTAGAAGAAACGTTTGCGCATCGTGCAGGGGAAGAAGTTTAGTTTTCCCGAAGCATACGGAAATTACCGAGGCCTTGCGAATGATCACTTTTGAAACAACGTCGCTGATTGCACAATTAAATCTGATTGCCTCCAATCACGAGTCTTGAACGCTCACACCATGAAAGGGCCGTATTAGAACAGAGGTTACGTAGGAAGATATGACAGGAGTAACCTCTGTGGGAAGAGAATGAAAGAAACTGTGCATACAATTTTTTTAGAATCAAAATTTATCAAAACTGTGTAGACACATAAGGATTTAAACTCAGAGATAAGTGACATGTATCCAACATGCATGCACGTGCCACGTTCCGTGACGTCACTGGGTTCGTCCTTGAGACGTGCAATACGTTGTTGCACGTGCATTCCGGGAAAGAGAAACTGAGCAAATGAATGCCACACAATACTGTCACTTTGGAAAGCTAAACCCCTGCCCTTGCGATCTTTCAGAATTTAAACGGCTATTGAAACGCATAGCATGCCAAGGCTCACGTCTGCACAACGTCATGAGGCCATTGGGATGGTCCGTGGGGGAATGTCTCAACGACACGTGGCTGCACATTTCTACTGCCACCGGAACACCATTTCTGCACTAGTGAGACGCTACCAGAACACAAATGACGTCATCAATCGGCCACGTTCTGGACGTCCACGTGTAACAACGCCAAGACAGGACAGATGGATAAGGGTGACCCATCTTCGCCACAGGTTTCAGACTGCAGTGATGACTGCCCAAACCATCGCCGTATCCTCCCCAACACAGTTCGACAGTACATATAAACTTTAATGGAGGGATCATGAGACCATGACAAGTCGGGAGAATTTCAATTGAAAAGTCAATCACAATGACGCCACGAGTCCACAAGCGGGACACGCGTCAAACGACCATGCCACAAGCTCAATAACGGGTATGTCCACCATTGGCATTGAGAACAGCAGTGCATCGACGACGCATAGAGCCTATCAAACCAGCAAGGAAGGCTTTTGGGATGCCACGCCAGATTCTCTCAAGTTCTGTCGCAAGGTCAAGGACATTATCTGGCGGATGAGGAAGACGGCGTAGACGTCAATCCATCTCGTCCCAAACATGCTCTATCGGGGAGAGATCCGGTGAATTTGCAGGCCAATGCAATAAGTCAACGTTGTGGTGTTGCAAGAAATCTATAGCAACCCTTGCCGTATGAGGTCGGGCATTGTCCTGTTGGAATGTTAACCCAGGGCCATGACGTTGCAGGAAAGGAATTGCCACAGGTCGAAGAATCTGATCCCTGTGGCCCACACCAGTTAAGTTGCCCTGAACAATCACCAAAGGAGTTCTTTGGCGTGCTGTTATTCCACCCCAAATCATCACGGAACCACCACCAAAGCGATTTCTCTCCAAGACACAGGCCTGTGCATAACGTTCTCCCACGCGTCTATAGGCACGTTGACGTCCATCACTATGGGAAATGTTAAACCTGGACTCATATGTACAAACAACATTCTCCACCAAAACAAGGGTCTGCGGACATGATTTCGGCACCACATTCGGCGAGCTTGTCGATGACGTTGTGTCAGGATAGGCCGTATGGCGGGACGTCGTGGTCTGATCCCGTGATGACGTAATGTGGCTAGTATATGTGTTTCAACATTTCAAGTTCCCAGTTGTTGTTTCTACTTTCGAAACGTTTTTCGTTATTGCAAGTTTAATGAAGCTACACGAATTTCGAATAAAGAATGTATTTTTAAAAATAGGCCAATAATCAAAAGAACAAGAAAGTTCGTTTAAACAAAAATATTATTGAAAAATATGGAACCATTAAGCTTTCGTAGACGACTTAAACGCCCTGTTCAAGGTCACTAAGGTAAGAATCGTTATCATCGTAAGAGGCAGGTATATCTAGAAGAGTTTTCAGACTTGGAGGCTACCAGATTACAAAAACATACATCTAAATATACAATAGTATTCTAGAGATCAAAACAAACATGCCTTTTCTACTTGTATATTCATACCGTACACGTCGATGCATGTACAAGTGATCAGACAATCCAGACATTATGAGCACCGATCAGCGAGTCTGACCACCAGATTTTAATAATAATAATAAATGCATATTTATAATGCGCCCCTTCAATACCCTAAGGCATGCTCAAAGCGCTACAGAATATTTACATTGGGGTATTTACAGATGAAGTTATACATAATATACTGAGAAAAGTTTGGTTTTAAGTCTGGACTTAAAAATGTCAATTGTGTCAGAGCTTTTAAGGGCACATGGGAGAGAGTTCCAAAGCACAGGTGCAGAGTAAGAGAATGATCGGTGTCCAAAGGATTTCAGTTTGTAGGATTTTGTGTGTTTGAGCGCAAGTTGCGTGCGGGGACATACGGATGTAGGAGTTCAGACAAGTAGGAGGGAGCCAAACATAGATCTAAATATACAATAGTATTCTAGAGTTCAAAACAAACATGCCTTTTCTACTTGCATATTCATACCGTACACGTCGATGCATGTACAAGTGATCAGACAATCCAGACATTATGAGCACCGATCAGCGAGTCTGACCACCCAATCCGGTTAGTCGCCTCTTACGACAAGTATGGGTTGCTGAGGAAATATTCTTTGGTTCCAGCATGCAAATTTATTTTTCTACAACATTGACGTGACGTGTCTGTACAGCGGCTCTACAGTTTGCACAGGGGTTGGCGAAAACAGTGTACATCAAGCTTAAATTGTCTTGTTTATATAACACGTGACTCGGCCACACTACTTACAATTACTCGTAATGTCATTTTATTATGAATGATTGTTACTGGAAATATGTGTTGCATTACGTTGAAAGGCACTCGATATATGGGAGGCAACTCTTGTAGGCTAAATAATGAACCGTACTACATCAAGAGTTATCTCCCCTGGTGTAGCAGACGGCTTCCTTTGTTGACATGGCAGATTTGACAGCAGAAGAGAAAAGAAAGCTGGTTCTAGATGATTTTGAAAGGGGTGTGACTAATGCAAAAGAGATAGCTGGTAGACACGACATTCCTCTGTCTACAGTAGACAGAACTTTGAAGAATATTCAGTCAGGAGTTGAGATTGACAGGGTAGGGGGGCCAAGGAAGTTCGGTCCCACGGATCGCTGGCGACTTGGTCAGATTGTGAGTAGGGGACGTAACTTAGTGAAAAGCTCGGAATTTTCTCACCATTGATGGAAAATGCACAAAAAGAAAGACTGGTGAAAAACTGGTGTCGGGCTCACGGAAATCAAGATTGGGATAATGTTTGTTTTTTTTCCGAAGTGTGTGAAAATTTGGACAAAAGATACCGTGAAACCTATCTACCAACGCCCAAAACAGCCCGAAATTTCACATGTTGGGTGAGATAACACGTGGAGTGACGCCGTTGTGTATTTTCACTGGAAATTTGTCCAAGGAACGATATGTTGACATCTTAAATGATCACCTCCTTCCAACGGCCCGAACACTGTGTGAAAATAATTGGATTTTCCAGCATGATAACGACCCAAAACACACTGTGGGCTACACAAGCCAGTGGTTGTCGGACACAAATGCTCAAGTTTTAAGACTGGCCAAGCTATTGCCCAGATCTGAACCATATTGAGAATGTGTGGGGACTAATGAAGGGCAGAATAAACCAAAAAGGACTGAGAAATATTGAGGAAATGAAGAAAGAAGTGGTCAAATATTGGGATAGGCTGTCACACCGAGAATTTTTTACAGATTATTTTTTGTACATCAAAGTATTGATATAACACTCTTTTGAGTGTCATATACCCTCACCCCAACCCTGAAATCACACCTCAATTAATGACGCAAAGATTGCGGTAAGCCCATCTGACAGATGATCGGTACCAGAATGATACACCTAATTACATATGATTACAACAACCATTAATAAAATTAATTAAAATAAGGAATACAGGGCAGTGACATAGACTACCCCTAACCCCATAAACTGAAGGCATGTTGTGCAACAGCTAACGAACAAAAGACTTAATTAGAAAAAGGATTTCATTCAATCCGCATGACTCCAAAAGACAGGATAGAAAAAATAAAGAAAGTGCATACAAAACAATGAATATGAAATACAGAAACAATCATTGATTGGTGAAGAAAAAAGCGTTATATAAACTATCAACTTTTTTAAAAACATGAAGTTGGTCAAACGTAGCTGGCAAAAAACATCTTTTATACAAAATTGCATAAATGGAGACATTTTACCTTCAGAAAGCAGGAAATTGCATCTGAGAGCATCTAATGTTAAAATATTCACATGGGGGCATGACACACACACACACACACACCCCGCCCCCACTAGATCCTCGGCCACTTCGCGGGCTCGAACGTGGATAGTGCCCCCAGTGCCCCCCTATTAAGAAAGGTTAACCAGTACAAACCATCATACATCAAACCAAAATACTGCTTCACACTCCAACACATCAAGCTTCAACAAAATCTGTATTCACCCCTGAATATCTTACAGTTCATAAGTTTTAATAACCACTAGGAGACGTACCTGTTCCTGATTAGATCGACTGAATGTGTAGGGGGGGTATTCGGTTCTGGAACCACCCAGCAATCTGGTACCACCACTTTCAGATCGTCGTTGTCTGTGATGAGATCCACAGTCACGTTCAAACAGTCGTTTACATGGAGGCGAACTGCACTGCTATAACGCTCGAAGAAATGGTCTGATTTCCACAAATACATCTTGAAACGAAACTTTCCCGTGCCAACAATTACAATGGTTTGTGTGACAATTTCAGCGCCGATGTTCACCTCATGTTCTCTTTCGAAGGCACACATAGCATCCACGACATACGCGCCTCTCCGTGTTATACCATCGCTGTCACTCACTGGACTGTGAATCAACTTGGTGTCGTAGAACAGATGCGTCTCATTTCCCTGAAAGTAAATTTTCAGTAGATTTTACCAATTTGTTTTGGCTTTTCTTTATTTCTTCAAGAATTTTCTGGGACAACATGCTTCATTCAGTGAAGGATAAATGCATTTGAACCTCGAGTTTTGAATGGAAAGACATAACTCCAATTCTCAAATCCTTACTCTGGCTTCATTTACGTATTGCCTTTAAGCTCCTTTGCATTATCTACAAGTGTCTACACAATGTTGTTCCAGCTTATCTCACTGATCTCACAGAATACACCCCAACCAGAACTCTTCGATCCCAGAACCAGTTCCTCTTATCAGTCCCCAACATCCGCTTAACTTCATTTGGCAAGCGATCTTTCCGACATGCAGCTCCATATCTGTGGAACTCTCTACCTGTCAACATTAAACCTTCTGATTCTCTCTCAACTTTTAAATCTTGCTAGAAACCCTATCTATTCAAGAGCACCTGCTACTGAGTCTGACCATACAATGTATATTTTGGTGTATAGTATCCTCTTGTTGTATTGTAGCGCCATGGGTGCACATTATAAATGTCCAAAGTATTATTTCTCAAGAAGAGATAACCTATATGAACCAGCTAAACTGTCATGTGGGAGACTGGAACGAGGTTCGCTTACCGACGTCTTGACACCACATGTATTTAAAGCGATGACAGCCGACACAACTACATCTCCAGATCCAGGGTCGTAATTGTAAGTGTTGATGGGGCAGCCTGGAGCCATGAGAGAGATGTGGGCCGGTGTGAGATCCTTGTCGTTCACCTTGCTGAAATCCACTCTCATGTACGTGTTGTTGCACGAGATGTTCGGGGCATCAGCTGTGGAAGCAATATCTCACTAATACACACGTTTTTATTTCAGGAGCTACACAACAATACACATATAAGCTACAATGATAGTGTGACAGTTACACGTGTGTGTCTGGTGGACTGGCGCTACCCACGGAAAGGCTGTGTATTTTATTAATTTCAGGGTGACAGGTATATATACTCACGTTCAGACACACAGTGTTCAGGGTGACAGGTACATGTACTCACGTTCAGACACACAGTGTTCAGGGTGACAGGTACATATACTTACGTTCAGACACACAGTGTTCAGGGTGACAAGTACATATACTTACGTTCAGACACACAGTGTTCAGGGTGACAGGTACATATACTCACGTTCAGACACACAGTGTTCAGGGTGACGGGTACATTTACTCACGTTCAGACACAGTTTTCAGGGTGACAGGTACATGTACTCACGTTCAGACACAGTGTTCAGGGTGACAGGTATATATACTCACGTTCAGACACACAGTGTTCAGGGTGACAAGTACATCTACTTACGTTCAGACACACAGTGTTCAGGGTGACAGGTACATATACTCACGTTCAGACACACAGCGTTCAGGGTGACGGGTACATGTACTCACGTTCAGACACACAGTGTTCAGGGTGACGGGTACATATACTCACGGTCAGACAGTGTTCAGGGTGACAGGTACATGTACTCACGTTCAGACACAGTGTTCAGGGTGACAGGTATATATACTCACGTTCAGACACACAGTGTTCAGGGTGACCGGTACATGTACTCACGTTCAGACACACAGTGTTCAGGGTGACGGGTACATATACTCACGGTCAGACAGTGTTCAGGGTGACAGGTACATGTACTCACGTTCAGACACAGTGTTCAGGGTGACAGGTATATATACTCACGTTCAGACACACAGTGTTCAGGGTGACCGGTACATGTACTCACGTTCAGACACACAGTGTTCAGGGTGACCAGTACATGTACTTACGTTCAGACACACAGTGTTCAGGGTGACGGGTACATATACTTACGTTTAGACACACAGTGTTCAGGGTGACGGGTACATATACTTACGTTCAGACACACAGTGTTCAGGGTGACGGGTACATATACTTACGTTCAGACACACAGTGTTCAGGGTGACGGGTACATATACTTACGTTTAGACACACAGTGTTCAGGATGACAGGGTACATATACTTACGTTTAGACACACAGTGTTCAGGGTGACGGGTACATATACTTACGTTTAGACACACAGTGTTCAGGGTGACTTACGTTCAGACACACAGTGTTCAGGGTGACGGGTACATATACTTACGTTTAGACACACAGTGTTCAGTGTGACAGGTACATGTACTCACGTTTAGACACACAGTGTTCAGTGTGACGTGTACATATACTTACGTTTAGACACACATTGTTCGGGATGACGGGGTACATATACTTACGTTTAGACACACAGTGTTCAGGGTGACGGGGTACATATACTTACGTTTAGACACACATTGTTCAGGATGACGGGGTACATATACTTACGTTTAGACACACAGTGTTCAGTGTGACGTGTACATATACTTACGTTTAGACACACATTGTTCAGGATCACGGGGTACATATACTTACGTTTAGACACACGGTGTTCAGGGTGACGGGTACAATTACTTACATTCAGACACACAGTGTTCAGGGTGACAGGTACATATACTTACGTTTAGACACACAGTGTTCAGGGTGACGGGTACATATACTTACGTTCAGACACACAGTGTTCAGGGTGACGGGTACATATACTTACGTTTAGACACACAGTGTTCAGTGTGACAGGTACATATACCTACGTTCAGACACACAGTGTTCAGGGTGACGGGTACATATACTTACGTTTAGACAGACATTGTTCAGTGTGACAGGTACATGTACTCACGTTTAGACACACAGTGTTCAGTTTGACGTGTACATGTACTTACATTCAGACACACAGTGTTCAGGGTGACAGGTACATATACTCATGTTCAGACAGTGTTCAGGGTGACAGGTACATATACACACGTTCAGACATGCAGGGTTCAGGGCATGTATATACTCACGTTCAGACAAACTGTTAAGGGTGACAGGTACATGTACTCACGTTCAGTCATGCAGTGTTCAGGGCATATATATACTCACGTTCAGACACACAGTGTTCAGGGTGACAGGTACATATGCTTACGTTCAGACATGCAGTGTTCAGGGCATATATATACTCACGTTCAGACACACAGTGTTCAGGGTGACAGGTACATGTACTCACGTTCAGACATGCAGTGTTCAGGGCATATATATACTCACGTTCAGACAAACAGTGTTCAGGGTGACAGGTACATGTACTCACGTTCAGACATGCAGTGTTCAGGGCATATACATACTCACGTTCAGACACACAGTGTTCAAGGTGACATGTACATGTACTAACCTTCAGACACACAGTGTTCAGTGTGACGGGTACATATAGTCACGTTCAGACACACAGTGTTCAGGGTGACAGGGTACATATACTCACGTTCAGACACACAGTGTTCAGGGTGACAGGGTACATATACTCACGTTCAGACACACAGTGTTCAGGGTGACAGGTACATATACACACGTTCAGACACACAGTGTTCAGGATGACAGGTACATCTACTTACGTTCAGACAGTCTTCAAGGTGACAGGTACATGTCCTCACGTTCAGACACACAGTGTTCAGGGTGACGGGTACATTTACTCACGGTCAGACAGTGTTCAGGGTGACAGGTACATGTACTCACGTTCAGACATGCAGTGTTCAGGGTGACAGGTACATGTACTCACGGTCAGACACACAGTGTTCAGGGTGACGGGTACATATAGTCACGTTCAGACACACAGTGTTCAGGGTGACAGGGTACATATACTGACGTTTAGACACCCAGTGTTCAGGGTGACAGTGTACATATACTCACGTTCAGACACACAGTTTTCAGTGTGCCGGATACATTTACTTACGTTCAGACACACATTGTTCAGGGTGACGGGTACATATACATACGTTCAGACACACAGTGTTCAGGGTACATATATATTCACGATCGGGCACACAGTGTTCAGGGTGACAGGTACATATACTCACGTTCAGACACACAGTGTTCAGGGTGACAGGGTACATATACTCACGTTCAGACACACAGTGTTCAGGGTGACGGGTACATATACTCACGTTCAGACACACAGTGTTCAGGGTGACCGGTACATGTACTCACGTTCAGACACACAGTGTTCAGGGTGACCAGTACATGTACTTACGTTCAGACACACAGTGTTCAGGGTGACGGGTACATATACTTACGTTTAGACACACAGTGTTCAGGGTGACGGGTACATATACTTACGTTTAGACACACAGTGTTCAGGGTGACGGGTACATATACTTACGTTTAGACACACAGTGTTCAGGGTGACGGGTACATATACTTACGTTTAGACACACAGTGTTTAGGATGACAGGGTACATATACTTACGTTTAGACACACAGTGTTCAGGGTGACGGGTACATATACTTACGTTTAGACACACAGTGTTCAGGGTGACGGGTACATATACTTACGTTCAGACACACAGTGTTCAGGGTGACGGGTACATATACTTACGTTTAGACACACAGTGTTCAGTGTGACAGGTACATGTACTCACGTTTAGACACACAGTGTTCAGTGTGACGTGTACATATACTTACGTTTAGACACACATTGTTCGGGATGACGGGGTACATATACTTACGTTTAGACACACAGTGTTCAGGGTGACGGGGTACACATACTTACGTTTAGACACACATTGTTCAGCATGACGGGGTACATATACTTACGTTTAGACACACAGTGTTCAGTGTGACGGGTACATATACTTACGTTTAGACACACATTGTTCGGGATGACTGGGTACATATACTTACGTTTAGACACACAGTGTTCAGGGTGACGGGGTACATATACTTACGTTTAGACACACATTGTTCAGGATGACGGGGTACATATACTTACGTTTGGACACACAGTGTTCAGTGTGACGGGTACATATACTTACGTTTAGACACACAGTGTTCAGGATCACGGGGTACATATACTTACGTTTAGACACACAGTGTTCAGGGTGACGGGTACAATTACTTACATTCAGACACACAGTGTTCAGGGTGACAAGTACATATACTTACGTTCAGACACAGTGTTCAGTGTGACAGGTACATATACTTACGTTCAGACACACAGTGTTCAGGGTGACGGGTACATATACTTACATTCAGACACACAGTGTTAAGTGTGACAGGTACATATACTTACGTTCAGACACACAGTGTTCAGGGTGACGGGTACATATACTTACGTTTAGACACACAGTGTTCAGTGTGACAGGTACATGTACTCACGTTTAGACACACAGTGTTCAGTGTGACGTGTACGTATACTTACGTTTAGACACACATTGTTCAGCATGACGGGGTACATATACTTACATTCAGACACACAGTGTTCAGGGTGACAGGTACATCTACTTACGTTCAGACACACAATGTTCAGGGTGACAAGTACATATACTTACGTTTAGACACACAGTGTTCAGGGTGACGGGTACATATACTTACGTTCAGACACACAGTGTTCAGGGTGACGGGTACATATACTTACGTTTAGACACACAGTGTTCAGGGTGACAGGTACATGTACTCACGTTTAGACACACAGTGTTCAGTGTGACGTGTACATATACTTACGTTTAGACACACAGTGTTCAGGGTGACGGGGTACATATACTTACGTTTAGACACACATTGTTCAGCATGACGGGGTACATATACTTACGTTTAGACACACAGTGTTCAGTGTGACGGGTACATATACTTACGTTTAGGCACACATTGTTCAGGATCACGGGGTACATATACTTACGTTTAGACACACAGTGTTCAGGGTGACGGGTACAATTACTTACATTCAGACACACAGTGTTCAGGGTGACAGGTACATATACTTACGTTCAGACACTGTGTTCAGTGTGACAGGTACATATACTTACGTTCAGACACACAGTGTTCATGGTGACGGGTACATATACTTACATTCAGACACACAGTGTTCAGTGTGACAGGTACATATACTTACGTTCAGACACACAGTGTTCAGGGTGACGGGTACATATACTTATGTTTAGACACACAGTGTTCAGTGTGACAGGTACATGCACTCACGTTTAGACACACAGTGTTCAGTGTGACGTGTACATGTACTTACATTCAGACACACAGTGTTCAGGGTGACAGGTACATCTACTTACGTTCAGACACACAATGTTCAGGGTGATAGGTACATATACTTACGTTCAGATACCGTTAAGGGTGACAGTAACATGTACTCATGTTCAGACAGTGTTCAGGGTGACAGGTACATATACACACGTTCAGACATGCAGGGTTCAGGGCATGTATATACTCACGTTCAGACAAACTGTTAAGGGTGACAGGTACATATACTTACGTTCAGACACACAGTGTTCAGGGTGACAGGTACATATACTTACGTTCAGACACACAGTGTTCAGGGTGACGGGTACATATACTTACATTCAGACACACAGTGTTAAGTGTGACAGGTACATATACTTACGTTTAGACACACAGTGTTCAGTGTGACAGGTACATGTACTCACGTTTAGACACACAGTGTTCAGTGTGACGTGTACATATACTTACGTTTAGACACACATTGTTCAGCATGACGGGGTACATACACTTACATTCAGACACACAGTGTTCAGGGTGACAGGTACATCTACTTACGTTCAGACACACAATGTTCAGGGTGACAAGTACATATACTTACGTTTAGACACACAGTGTTCAGGGTGACGGGTACATATACTTACGTTCAGACACACAGTGTTCAGGGTGACGGGTACATATACTTACGTTTAGACACACAGTGTTCAGTGTGACAGGTACATGTACTCACGTTTAGACACACAGTGTTCAGTGTGACGTGTACATATACTTACGTTTAGACACACAGTGTTCAGGGTGACGGGGTACATATACTTACGTTTAGACACACATTGTTCAGCATGACGGGGTACATATACTTACGTTTAGACACACAGTGTTCAGTGTGACGGGTACATATACTTACGTTTAGACACACATTGTTCAGGATCACGGGGTACATATACTTACGTTTAGACACACAGTGTTCAGGGTGACGGGTACATATACTTACGTTCAGACACACAGTGTTCAGGGTGACGGGTACATATACTTACATTCAGACACACAGTGTTAAGTGTGACAGGTACATATACTTACGTTTAGACACACAGTGTTCAGTGTGACAGGTACATGTACTCACGTTTAGACACACAGTGTTCAGTGTGACGTGTACATATACTTACGTTTAGACACACATTGTTCAGCATGACGGGGTACATACACTTACATTCAGACACACAGTGTTCAGGGTGACAGGTACATCTACTTACGTTCAGACACACAATGTTCAGGGTGACAAGTACATATACTTTACGTTTAGACACACAGTGTTCAGGGTGACGGGTACATATACTTACGTTCAGACACACAGTGTTCAGGGTGACGGGTACATATACTTACGTTTAGACACACAGTGTTCAGTGTGACAGGTACATGTACTCACGTTTAGACACACAGTGTTCAGTGTGACGTGTACATATACCTACGTTTAGACACACAGTGTTCAGGGTGACGGGGTACATATACTTACGTTTAGACACACATTGTTCAGCATGACGGGGTACATATACTTACGTTTAGACACACAGTGTTCAGTGTGACGGGTACATATACTTACGTTTAGACACACATTGTTCAGGATCACGGGGTACATATACTTACGTTTAGACACACAGTGTTCAGGGTGACGGGTACATATACTTACGTTTAGACACACAGTGTTCAGGGTGACGGGTACATATACTTACGTTCAGACACTGTGTTCAGTGTGACAGGTACATATACTTACGTTCAGACACACAGTGTTCATGGTGACGGGTACATATACTTACATTCAGACACACAGTGTTCAGTGTGACAGGTACATATACTTACGTTCAGACACACAGTGTTCAGGGTGACGGGTACATATACTTACGTTTAGACACACAGTGTTCAGTGTGACAGGTACATGCACTCACGTTTAGACACACAGTGTTCAGTGTGACGTGTACATGTACTTACATTCAGACACACAGTGTTCAGGGTGACAGGTACATCTACTTACGATCAGACACACAATGTTCAGGGTGACAGGTACATATACTTACGTTCAGATACCGTTAAGGGTGACAGTAACATGTACTCATGTTCAGACAGTGTTCAGGGTGACAGGTACATATACTCATGTTCAGACAGTGTTCAGGGTGACAGGTACATATACACACGTTCAGACATGCAGGGTTCAGGGCATGTATATACTCACGTTCAGACAAACTGTTAAGGGTGACAGGTACATGTACTCACGTTCAGTCATGCAGTGTTCAGGGCATATATATACTCACGTTCAGACACACAGTGTTCAGGGTGACAGGTACATATGCTTACGTTCAGACATGCAGTGTTCAGGGCATATATATACTCACGTTCAGACACACAGTGTTCGGGGTGACAGGTACATATGCTTACGTTCAGACATGCAGTGTTCAGGGCATATATATACTCACGTTCAGACAAACAGTGTTCAGGGTGACAGGTACATGTACTCACGTTCAGACATGCAGTGTTCAGGGCATATACATACTCACGTTCAGACACACAGTGTTCAGGGTGACATGTACATGTACTAACCTTCAGACACACAGTGTTCAGTCTGACGGGTACATATAGTCACGTTCAGACATACAGTGTTCAGGGTGACAGGGTACATATACTCACGTTCAGACACACAGTGTTCAGGGTGACAGGGTACATATACTCACGTTCAGACACACAGTGTTCAGGGTGACAGGTACATATACACACGTTCAGACACACAGTGTTCAGGATGACAGGTACATCTACTTACGTTCAGACAGTCTTCAAGGTGACAGGTACATGTCCTCACGTTCAGACACACAGTGTTCAGGGTGACGGGTACATTTACTCACGGTCAGACAGTGTTCAGGGTGACAGGTACATGTACTCACGTTCAGACATGCAGTGTTCAGGGTGACAGGTACATGTACTCACGGTCAGACACACAGTGTTCAGGGTGACGGGTACATATAGTCACGTTCAGACACACAGTGTTCAGGGTGACAGGGTACATATACTGACGTTTAGACACCCAGTGTTCAGGGTGACAGTGTACATATACTCACGTTCAGACACACAGTTTTCAGTGTGCCGGATACATTTACTTACGTTCAGACACACATTGTTCAGGGTGACGGGTACATATACATACGTTCAGACACACAGTGTTCAGGGTACATATATATTCACGATCGGGCACACAGTGTTCAGGGTGACAGGTACATATACTCACGTTCAGACACACAGTGTTCAGGGTGACCAGTACATGTACTTACGTTCAGACACACAGTGTTCAGGGTGACGGGTACATATACTTACGTTTAGACACACAGTGTTCAGGGTGACCGGTACATGTACTCACGTTCAGACACACAGTGTTCAGGGTGACCAGTACATGTACTTACGTTCAGACACACAGTGTTCAGGGTGACGGGTACATATACTTACGTTTAGACACACAGTGTTCAGGGTGACGGGTACATATACTTACGTTTAGACACACAGTGTTCAGGGTGACGGGTACATATACTTACGTTCAGACACACAGTGTTCAGGGTGACGGGTACATATACTTACGTTTAGACACACAGTGTTCAGGATGACAGGGTACATATACTTACGTTTAGACACACAGTGTTCAGGGTGACGGGTACATATACTTTCGGTTAGACACACAGTTTTCAGTGTGCCGGATACATTTACTTACGTTTAGACACACAGTGTTCAGGGTGACGGGTACATATACTTACGTTCAGACACACAGTGTTCAGGGTGACAGGTACGTATACTTACGTTCAGACACACAGCGTTCAGGGTGACAGGTACATGTACTCACGTTCAGACACAGTGTTCAGGGTGACAGGGTACATATACTCACGTTCAGACACACAGTGTTCAGGGTGGCAGGGTACATATACTAACGTTCAGAACACAGTGTTCAGGGTGACAGGTACATCTACTTACGTTTAGACACACAGTGTTCAGGGTCGCAGGGTACATATACTAACGTTCAGACACACAGTGTTCAGGATGACGGGTACATATACTAACGTTCAGACACACAGTGTTCAGGATGACGGGTACATATACTTACGTTCAGACACACAGTGTTCAGGGTGACAGGGTACATATACTCACGTTCAGACACAGTGTTCAGGGTGACAGGGTACATTTACTCACGTTCAGACACAGTGTTCAGGGTGACAGGGTACATATACTAACGTTCAGACACACAGTGTTCAGGATGACGGGTACATATACTTACGTTCAGACACACAGTGTTCAGGGTGGCAGGGGTTGTCTTCAAGACAGGTCATGTACACGGCGTCAGTGCAGCCGTCGACGTCGCCCCAGCTGGAGTGCTGGCACTCAGTCAGGTTCGACTCCCCTCCGTGACAGAACGGTCTGTACATCACCCTGAACCGCTGACGCAGTGTGCGGTGTTGCAACATCATCGGGGTGGCATATGTCTCACTGCAACCAGTGTGATAGTAAGTAATGTTGCGATACTCGTCACACTCTGCTCCTTCCTAGCAATATCGGGTGCCGAAACCGACACAGTCAGGTGTATTATATACATTTGTCGCTTGACCATAAGACGAACACGAGTCATTTAGCCCATTTAGGGGGAAATGAGAACTGTTCCTACAAAGCTTACATCCCCGTACAGTCATCATGTGGAATGGCATCCCACCATCCATGAGATTATCACCATCCATATATCTATTCTAGGCGTCGCTCATGGCTGAACACAGCTCTACCATGTGATTACATAAACTCTTTTTCCTCTTTATCTTAAATGAAAAGCACAAACATATGTACTCGCTTTTACGAAAGACAAAAAGACTAGCTGTTTGGTTTGGCGGGCTGCGCAGCACTGAAAACATTGGAACAGTTACACCCCTCACGAGGTTTGTTCCTACAAGGAGAGAGAAAGGAAGGGGCAGTGGGAGAGGAGAGAGGGAAGAGAGAGAGTCTAACGAACTGACAGAGATATGTCGAACTGGGGTTTTCGTGCATGACGTGAGGAGACAAGCATATGGTGCTTGGAACACTGCCATCCAGGGTGAGTTGAGGACGGTATATCAATGTTTAAAACTCCCAAAATTCCAAGCCAGACAGCCGCACTGGTAACTTTAAAAGATTACCAGTCCGGATACAAACTTGCCAGTCCGATTTTCAACAGTAAAAAAATCAGGCATAGCAATGAACTGCATAGCACTAACAGGCAATGCACCGAGTTTAGGTAAACTGAAAGCACACGTGTTGTGATTGGTTATCGTAGCATGAACTGTCCAATCGTAAGTAGTTTAACATAATTTCGGTAATACATGCACATTAAACATCTCAAACTGACAAGAGAACCTGTCTGATACTAGTATTTTGAAATATTTACTGTTAGGGGTAAAATTATCCACCAGACCCCCGAGCAGGTTTACTTTTGAAATTTAACCGTCCGAGATAAAAATAGACCGTTCCGGACGGTCGGGTAGGCGGGAATTTTAAACGCTGTGGTATTTCCCGTCATTGACTGATATACAAGCGTACGGCGCAGGAAACGGTGTCCCGCAGGCTGACATTACTTACTTGAAACACAGCATTCTGCACACGACCCTTGCTGCCGCCACGTCAAAGTTGTCAGTGCAGACAGACCCCCACGACATAGTTGCGGCGTCCTTCACCTCCAGGATCCCGATACCACCCGGTCCGCCATCGTTGTACAGTCGCACGTTCTGGTCTGGGACTGTGGAAATAACGGTTATCTCCCAATTGACAGACACTGAACTAGAAGGTTAATTAGGGTAACACCTACGGGTATAATGAAACAGTCCACTGTTTAGTGAGTAGAGCAGGGTGAGCCTGAAACAGGTTCGTTACTGAGACGTTTGATTGTGGGTAAATAGAACTTTGTTGTGATTAAATGATAAATGATTTCTCTTCTCAAAATTGATTTTATTATCAATTACTGTCGAATAAAAAAACAGGTTTGTCAATGAGAGGTTTGATGGTGTTTATTGATAGAAAATAATAATAATAGCATATGAACAAAAGAAGTTAACTGAGAAAACGTTTTGTTGGAGAGATACAGATATGTACATATTTGAAAACATTCTGATTTGCAGTAAATGAGACACCTGCATTGTCATGTAAGATACGATTAATACCAATCAGTGTTCTAATTTTAACAATACTTTGTAAAGATTGTAACAGTTTATGTCTTTGAGTAGTATACAATGGACATTCAAGGAAGAAATGAAAAACATTCTCACATCCAAGGCCACATTGACATGATGCGTCATATTTTAAATATGTATTCTAAATAAATCGTATTTAAGTGCACTCGTCATATATCTTAATATTGTGTGCAAAACATATAACTTCTTTATACCATATGAATTATATTTAGGTTCACATTTGTCTTTATTTGATTTATATGATACAACAGTGTCGCAATTTCTAATAGCTAAGCTAATGTTTTCAATATGATGATGCGGACTCCCGTTAGACTAGAAGGTTAAACCGAAATGTTTATAAACATAAACGGTTTTTATATTGCAGCAAATTACTGTCTTTTCGTCCATCTTTCAAAATAAATAATATAGCTTCAGTTTGTTCCTGTGTTTTTATTTGGACTATTCCATTATAATATGTACGTAACAGGTAGTAGATAATCTGTTCACTGAACCGTAAATGTTGTTGTTTTAAGGTGTCTGCGAACTGGCTGGGAGGACACCGAAATAACAATTCTACACTAAATTAGAGTCGTCGGGGACCAGGTGGTCGTGACTGGGTTTTTTCACGCCACACTCAGTAATATTCCAGCTAAATGACGGTGGTTTATTAATAGTTGAGGCTGGGCAAGACAACCCAGTGATTGTTATCAAAGCCATCGACCTGTGCAGGTGGGATACGATTTTACAGGCGCTTCATTGTGTGTATTCAGACTCGGAAGTATTTTGCGGCTAAATGAAGCATTAGGTGGCGCAACGCCTATACATAATGAACATGCATTTGTTCCAATACAAGCAGAGGCATGGGCGGTCCAGTCGTGGAAATCGCTGAAATTAGCTGTGTAGAGTTACGTCCCTTGGTACGCCGGAAAACTATGACTGTTGGTTAAATCCGAGTTCACCCCGATTATGTTTCTCGGTTTACCAGCCATATGTTTGCGCTTGTATGCTTAACCGAAGTGATAAACATCTAACCTGCATCACTTTCGGCTTTCCTGACACATAAGGTTAAGACTCGCGGATGTAGTGTTATACAAAGCGAAGTTAAACTCAAGTCACTCTATGTACCACTTCAGATGTAGCTCTACTTACCTGTACAAATCGAATGGGCCGGCACCACACCTGGAACAGAAAAAAAGAGAAAATGAATTTCTCTGGCGTATTGCTTGCCGAACAAGGGTTCTCAGGTAAAACAGTGAACATTTAGGCGACTCAAATGTGGAATAATATTCCGCAGCATTTCAGCCATCGTACTGAGCGAGTGAGTGAGTTTTACACCGTTTTTAGCAATATTCCAGCAATATCACGGCGGGGATCACCAGACATGGGTTTCACAATTGGTGAAATTGGCCCCTAACATAGAAGACAAAGAAGTGCCCCAGTCCTGTCACAACTGGATGTAAAGTGGTTGGTCCCTAGGTTATCGAATCAGTATTGTCAGTATTGATTTGTATAGACTATATATCAAACACAGAAAGGGGTTTCGTCACTTCCTGGTTGCTGGTTGGACAAGGCGGCATTAGTTACTATACAGATACCATGGGTTTATATCAGTGACGTCACATGAGCTTCTGCCCGGCAACACGGACAGGCGGCGATATTAATGAGACAATGTTACAATTTATCAGCCAATTTACTTGTCGCCAACTGTCACAAAAAGGAGATTAACCATTCACAAAAGTTGGGTTTTTTTAAAATCGGCAATTTCGTCTACAAAAACCACCTGCCGGACTTTAAATCTGGTCATAGATATTGCTCCAGTCAGCAGTCTGGAATATGTTGTATTTCATGTATGCAGTGTTATTGTTTGTTCACTATATATTGCTATTTTATATCTCAAATATTTACGAAAATCAAATTGCTGGTTTAAAATGTCAGTAAAAATGGCAATTTGGAAAATGTTTTCTGAATTAATGTTAAGATATTTTCCGCATAAGTGCTGGCGACTAAATCCTGACACCAAGTACTGTTGGTTTCAACAAGATACTACTGTACACACAACTTCCAAAACCCGTGAGGAATTCAAATCGCGGAACGTCTGACCGAAGAGCGGACGCCCCTTGTCCACTTGACTAAAGACGTTAATCCCGTCAGAAAACTGACGGTAAGGATGTGATCTCCGTGGCGACCAGTACCCTACCTGCCATTAGGCACTTTAGGCAAGTGCCTACACTACATTTCTTTGGCAATTCTTTTAACATGTGGTATGTTATGGATATATGTTTTTCGAGAGTAGTCTCCCTTTCCATGAAAACTCTCACGCTACGTTGATGCCAACATGGCGTCTAGCACATCAAAAACAATCGACAAATATTTTAAGATTTCATCCGTGAAAGATGATACTAATGAGCTTGCTCCTCAGCCAGAGGAAAAGAAAGCCGAATGCACCACCATATTTAGATCTGGTCAATTGTGGAAATGGTTTGGCTGATCAGGAAAAGAGCGATCTCCTTACATCGAAATGGCAAGATTGGCATTTGTTCAAATTATGTTTATATAGATTAAGTAATCAGGAACTAGCATCCACAACGCTATATGCAACAATTATCTTCAGCCGATATTATACTAGCACTAGTCAACAGATTTTTCTATTTGCATATTCATTGTAAACTACCGCCAAGAAAATGCATGTAAAGTTCTTTTTTTTATTTTGATAAAAAGTAAATCAGCCGGTACATAACATTTTATGGCCAAATAGAATAATGACTTTTGCTGAAAGAGCTATTTTGTCGAAGTCTTGTTTGCTAAGGGAACAAGCACGTCCAGTTGTGCCTACGCTTAATTCTATCCTGGGTCGATCCTGATGACTCTACCCCCTTTACACTGACGAGGTAGGGGTTTCTTTTGTTGTATTAATCCCCAATCTGTTATACTGACGAGGTAGCGATGTCCACTGTGAGATAAATCTACGCCCAGTTACGATGACACGAATGAGAGAATGTAAAATGACGTGAATATTCGTGTGAAGTTCCATGGGTCCTTTGCTTTCTCATATCGTTTTTATGGTCAAATAAACAATGTAACAATAAATAATAGAGAAAATTGAAAACGCCTCATTTGTTTCAATGTAGGTCTATTCGTCACAGATTCAGTGGACACAAAACATGGACAAGACTGCAGGACAACTTCCCCTTTGTGAGGAGCACCGTTAGGCGTCCACGTCTCACAACCTCCGAGACACAATGGGAACTGAAATTTGAAAAAGCGTCAGACAGATGTTGCTTAAGAAATGTTTCATCAGGGTTACAACATTCACAGCCTCAGTGAAGCTTGAGAACACACAGGGTACTGCGTTATGGTAGACATGGTGGACGTTCTAAACTATTGAGCTGATGTTCACAGACAGACAGATTATTTATTAAAGTCTCACCCCTGTTATACATATATACAAACTAATTAAACATATATTTACATAAGGGCCATTCCATACGGAATTATGAGAGACTAAAATTCTGCATGTACATGTATTATGAGAAACAATAATTACAAGTTATGTAATACGGATTTTCTCCTTTTTAAAATAACATGGCAGGTTTTGGCAGCTATAAAACAGATATTGCTATTGGACAGGATAAAAGCAGTTTTTTGTATATCAGTAAGATTACTAAAATTCTGACATAGGCTATCACAAGTATTTAAAAGACTAAAACGTTCATCACTATAAACCGGACAATTAATTAAAACATGAGCTTCGTCTTCAACACAGTGTTTACAATAAAACATTTTCTGTCGTTAAGTGGGATATTGTTATATCTACCCAGCTCAATATTAATTGGTGCAGTGCCGCATCTAAACTTAGCATATGCACTTCTGTATGTGCGGGGCATGGGATGAGTTACGTAAAGTTCTGGGGTATAAACATCCTTAAAAGTACATGAGCAAATGTTGTGGTTAAACATAAGCGGATCGAGAGGGGGAACCCCCTCCCCTCAACCCACCCACCCTTTTTCGTGGTCCTGAAAGTTTAGTAAATGACCATTGAAACTCTCGTGAACATGAAGTGTTCACTGCTAGCTGCACACATGGAAACTGCCATTAGATTGTCCCAACATTTCCAGCAAGGTTCTGTAACATGGCTGATTTGCTGGCCAAGGTTCGGGTTTCTGAATAAGCGCAGGCAATAGGCAGGTTCAATTCCAGTGGGTCACACTGACTCTGACGCTATGAGTGAGTGAGTGAGTTGGGTTTTACGCCGCTTTGAGCAATTTTCCAGCAATATCACGCCGGGGAACACCAGAACATGGGCTTCACACATTGTACCCACTGACGCTATGACGTATGCACACTACAGAAAATCAACTCGTTTACGGATTAAAGAAAAAATATCGAATTCTTAATCGATTTGCTGTTTTGATTTCCCAAACACTTCAAGTAATGTTTGCATAAAAAGAAGTGGTAATCCAATGATTAAATATACCTGCACATCGGTAAATATTGTTTGTCCAGCACAAACGTATATTATTTACACTAGACATGAATTTTGTGTTCTTAATATAATTGTTATAAATATTTGAAATGACGTTTGGAGTTACAATTGTGGCTGAACGTCTATTAGGTCACTCTCATCCAATTTAAACACTAATACCCTTTAACCTTCAGTGTAAAAAGAGGTGTTTGTCTTTTTGTCAAAATGATAATGCGAAAAATATGAACACGATCATTATTATGTTTTCCTTGATTACATGTTACATGCATATATTTGATTACATGTTACATGCATGTATTTGATTACATGTTACATGCATATATTTGATTACATGTTACATGCATATATTTGATTACATGTTACATGCATATATTTGATTACATGTTACATGCATATATTTGATTACATGTTACATGCATATATTTGATTACATGTTTCATGCATATATTTGATTACATGTTACATGCATGTATTTGATTACATGTTACATGCATATAATTGATTACATGTTACATGCATGTATTTGATTACATGTTACATGCATATATTTGATTACATGTAACATGCATATATTTGATTACATGTTACATGCATATATTTGATTACATGTTACATGCATGTATTTGATTACATGTTACATGCATATATTTGATTACATGTAACATGCATGTATTTGATTACATGTTACATGCATGTATTTGATTACATGTTACATGCATGTATTTGATTACATGTTACATGCATGTATTTGATTACATGTTACATGCATATATTTGATTACATGTTACATGCATATATTTGATTACATGTTACATGCATATATTTGATTACATGTTACATGCATATATTTGATTACATGTTACATGCATATATTTGATTACATGTTACATACATATATTTGATTACATGTTACATGCATATATTTGATTACATATTACATAAATATATTTGATTACATGTTACATACATATATTACCTAAGGCTGCGAGGCAGATCGAGACCAACAGGTGCTGGGATGTCCACTTCATGGCTGGAGAAGTGTGACTACAAGCACGACACCCTGTGGTTGTGTGGGGTGGAGTGGTTGTGTGCACTGATCACATGGAGACTGTGTCTACCGTTGACTGGGGCTGAGGGTATATGCGCAGTTCAGAGTGATATCACTTTTCAGAAATAGTCTCCCTCTGTGACCTCGGGTGTGCGGCACTGTGCATATCAATCTGTGTTAATCAGAAATTGATCAGGTCTGATAACATATTTTGATTGTGGAATGGTTGGATCTCATTGAGTCACCTATGACTGTCATTCAGTGTTAAACAGTCAAACACCGTTGTATCGAACATATCGTTGTCCCGAAGTAATACATTTTTAGTCACTATTTTGCGGTTGTGGTGTGAGTGAGTGAGTTTAGTTTTACGCCGCAAACAGCAATATTCCAGCTATACGGCGGCGGTCCATGCAATTAGGATACGAGGACATGTGTCAACCAAGTCAGCGAGCCTGTCCACCCGATCCCGGTCGAACCCTGGATAACTCGAAGTATTTACGTCGGACCCTCGACTGTACTTCTCGTGATTTGATAATTCACATGTAGTCAGAAGAAAATATATTTATCAACGCGTTAGTGTTTGTATATTACTACGTTTACACGCAGTCATGTACACGATTCCAGGGTTCATTAAAGGTGGTACAACCCTTCGTGTACAGATTGATCATCCTTCACTTGCCCAGTCTCATATCGCCGACAGGATGATAGTGCATATACATAAGTTACAGAAGAGCACCGACAGGATGATAGTGCATATACATAAGTTACAGAAGAGCACCGACAGGATGATAGTGCATATACATAAGTTACAGAAGAGCACCGACAGGATGATAGTGCATATACATAAGTTACAGAAGAGCACCGACAGGATGATAGTGCATATACATAAGTTACAGAAGAGCACCGACAGGATGATAGTGCATATACATAAGTTACAGAAGAGCACCGACAGGATGATAGTGCATATACATAAGTTACAGAAGAGCACCGACAGGATGATAGTGCATATACATAAGTTACAGAAGAGCACCGACAGGATGATAGTGCATATACATAAGTTACAGAAGAGCACCGACAGGATGATAGTGCATATACATAAGTTACAGAAGAGCACCGACAGGATGATAGTGCATATACATAAGTTACAGAAGAGCACCGACACGCCCGCAACAGTGCCATGTCATGTCAAATCACACAAAAACATTAAAATACAATAAAATAAAAATGTTAATCAACACAGTCATGTTCAAAACAACATCAACAATACTGGTTTCTATTATTTCCATGGACCCGTGAAGATCCGGGTTAGAATTGATCTTCAGTAACCCATGCTTGTCTCCCCGTGAAGGTCCGGATTAGATTTGATCTTCAGTAACCCATGCTTGTCGTAAGAGGCAACTAACGGGATCGGGTGGTCAGGCTCGCTGACTTGGTTGACACGTGTCATCGGTTCCCAATTGCGCAAATCAATGCTAATGATGTTGATTACTGGATTGTCTGGTCCAGACTCGATTATTTACAGACCGCCGCCATATATCTGGAATATTGCTGAGTGCGGCGTAAAACTAAAACTCACTCACACACTATTATTTCCATGCCTCGGTTCCCCGTTTCAGAAAACTATCGTAGCGCTACGACTGTCGTAAGTCTATAATACAGGGCCCAGATTTTCGAAGCTCTCTTAGCGCTAAGATAGTCGTTAGTGCCATACAATAACATTAACTTACGACTATCTTAGTGCTAAGAGAGCTTCGAAAATCCAGGCCCAGTATAGTAGGTACGACAGTCGTAGCACTACGATAGTTTTGGGAAACAAAGCCCAGACCCCTGCCGTGTTTGTGACTACTAGGCGATGACATTCCTTACATGATCAATTTGATCAACACGTGTCTCCCCAGTAAATGAACATAGTCTCCGTCTAACCCCACATGGCCGCCGCGTTAATCACTGTGCTTTGTATTCTAATACTTATTTTTTTCAGAGTACCTTTACTTGCAGTCAAGATAATTACAGTGTTAACCCTGTCAGATTTTAAAAAGTTACAATGACAATAAGAAACTCTTGTCTACTACCAGCATAAGCGACCTTAAAGGCCTTTCTAAATTACTGAACCATGTATTTAATGCATTTAAAAAATGAAATATTGTAATTATCTTATATCTTTCTATCGTGTAAGCTGCTGTCTTGTATATTATGTAAATGTATATACGTTTATCTCATGTACCGCCGTTGGCGGTTTGTAGAGAATAAAGAGTTTGAGTTTGAGACAAAAAGGTACTTGAGAATGTGGTGTCGATACAGACACATTCAGAATAACAAATTGTTTGCTGTCAGAGGTCAGGTGTCACAGGCGAGGTGCAGACAGCATTCCGCACGTACACACGCTTTCAGTGTCTCTCTCTAATTTTTGTGATAACGTTTCAAACACGTAGCCATGATTATGAATTTAGGAGTTTTGTTAATAACGTTTCAAACACGTAGCCATGATCATGAAGAATACTTGAAATATATACACACATGTACACACATGTACACACATTTCTGTTTGTGATGCTGGGCTGATGGCCAATAGTGTGTCGAGCAGAGTTCATGTTTCGCCAAATGAGTTTACTTTCGTCATACAACCTTTGTAACATCGGGTTTCTCTTTTTCCCTTGTTTTAATATTTGCAAAAACCTTATATAACCGTCAGGCTATATCGCTGCTTCTCATGAAATGTGTAAGCAGCACAATGTGGAATCATTTCAAGAAGTCAACGTCCAACTACGAACCTGATCATGTGATATCGGCTGTTATAAAAGCCTCCCTGAACACAATATGGAACGGTCCAATGTGTATCAACTATGTATCATGTTACTGCATTTGCTTAGCAAGCTCTCTGAAGTGAGGTTATCACGTGTGTTGCACCATAGACAAGCGGGGTCCCAGTGCCTCATTGCAAGCTGAAACCTGCCACCCGGAAATACACCCCAGGGTGCTATCTAATGCACATAGTTACCTGTCTGATGAATAGCAACTGATATGCACCGGGAAGGGTAACTGAGGCCAAACATGATAAGTGATCGCCACACACGGCGTGTTCTGCCAGTTCGTGTAAATTGTTGCGAATTTGTATTGATTTTCCTTTTAAGTTAAGGGTGAGTACTAATTCATCATCATATCAGCTGGCACCTTGAACGTTAAGACCAACAAAGCCGACACAGACATACTCACGTGGACAAATATTACTGGTGGGAATACTATACTCTTCAAAAAAAGAAACTTGACATGTTGTGTTGGAGGTTACTTACTGAGTGCATATAACTGATTCAAACATGACGTCATTGCACAGTTACAGTAAAATCATCACTTTACAAATTACCAAAACATGATTATCCAGAAAGTGTTTGGTAAAACCACAGAGGGCTATTAAAGCCACTTGGTCAGATTAAAATGTTAGTATCTGGTGTGACCACAATGAGCATCGATAACAGCTTGACAGCCGTCACCCATAGAAGAAGGGAGATGCCGAATGCTGTCTTGAGGAATGTTTTGATACACTTGCTGAAGTGCTCTGTGCAGTTCTTGTAGTGTCTGAGGTGGCGGGTTACGCTGGCGCAAGCGTCGATCAAGGGTATCCCATAGATGTTCAATGGGGGACAAATCCGGTGATCGAGAAGGCCAAGGTAACAACTGAACATTGTTTTGCTGGAGTAAGACCTGTCAAACACGTGCAAAGTAAAGGTCGAGCATTGTCATGCTCCAAACATCACGTTGATGTAGGGAACGACGTGACGTTGAACTGGTCTTTTGGCAAAAGTATGGCTTTCTATAGCCAATGGCACACTGTCTGGTCGGAGATTCGGAGCATTCCAGGGATTTGGATTCTTGTGGATGATGCGGCCGTGGTGTTTGAACGAAAATGTCTCAATGTGATCCTGTGCGCGGTGGTAACTTCAGGTCGACCTGACCTGGGTCTGTCATTAACACTTCCAGTATTTTTGTATCGGGTGCATAGGTTTGAGATGGTCTGTCTGGACACGCTAAAGTGCCTTGCCACCTCATGCTGCAATGTCCGTCATAGTAAACGGCCGATGGCGTTGTGTCGTTGAGCTTCTGTCAGTCTTTTCATTCTCTTGTCGTCTATAGTGTCTTAAAGCAATGCATGTGGAGTACCACTGATGTGGCTTTTTAAAGCCTACGACTCAGTGTGATACACAATTTTATTATGCTCGCGCATTTCATGTAGGGTGCGTTTTAGCGATTCACTACAGACGGGAGCGTATAGTAACATTAAATTTTTGTTAAACGTTTCTTTTTTCAAACGTTTTGTCGTCGGCAACCATTCCCCGACATGCTGGAATTAAGCATGGATTGGTTTGTGTCAAATATTTTCCTAAAATGCACATTTGTCCTATGGCAAGTGTATATTTTTCGGACTGTTTTCGTAACCTAGTGGGTACAGTTTCTGATAGAGAACTGAATATCGGTGGTTCGATCCCTAGTTATACGTACTTGTTATCACCCTGCCTTTATGGGATTACAGCCCAACCTGGTTGGCTCGGAATGTACACTCACTCACCCACTCACTCACCCACTCACTCACTTGATCAATTTTAAAGAATTCTCAAGAACAATCAGCATATCAATAGTTGATCATTCTCAAGAACAATCAGCATATCAATGATTCATAATTCTCAAGAACAATCAGCATATCAATAGTTGATAATTCTCAAGAACAATCAGCATATCAATAATTGATAATTCTCAAGAACAATCAGCATAACAATAATTGATCATTCTCGAGAACAATCAGCATATCAATAATAGATCATTCTCAAGAACAATCAGCATATCAATAATAGATCATTCTCAAGAACAATCAGCATAACAATAATTGATCATTCTCAAGAACAATCAGCATGTCAATAATAGATCATTCTCAAGAACAATCAGCATAACAATAATTGATCATTCTCAAGAACAATCAGCATATCAATAATTGATCATTCTCAAGAACAATCAGCATATCAATAATTGTTCATTCTCAAGAACAATCAGCATATCAATAATTGATCATTCTCAAGAACAATCAGCATATCAATAATTGATCATTCTCAAGAACAATCAGCATATAAATGATTGATCATTCTCAAAAACAATCAGCATATCAATAATTGATCATTCTCAAGAACAATCAGCATATCAATGATTCATAATTCTCAAGAACAATCAGCATATCAATGATTGATTATTCTCAAGAACAATCAGCATATCAATAATAGATCATTCTCAAGAACAATCAGCATATCAATAATTGATCATTCTGAACAATCATTCAATAATTGATCAAGAACAATCAGCATATCAATAATTGATCATTCTCAAGAACAATCAGCATATCAATAATTGATCATTCTCAAGAACAATCAGCATATCAATAATTGATCATTCTCAAGAACAATCAGCATATCAATAATTGATCATTCTCAAGAACAATCAGCATATCAATAATTGATCATTCTCAAGAACAATCAGCATATCAATAATTGATCATTCTCAAGAACAATCAGCATATCAATAATTGATCATTCTCAAGAACAATCAGCATATCAATAATTGATCATTCCTCAAGAACAATCATCATAATTGATCTCAAGAACAATCAGCATATCAATAATTGATCATTCTCAAGAACAATCAGCATATCAATAATTGATCATCCTCAAGAACAATCAGCATATCAATAATTGATCATTCTCAAGAACAATCAGCATATCAATAATAGATCATTCTCAAGAACAATCAGCATATCAATAATTGATCATTCTCAAGAACAATCAGCATATCAATAATTGATCATTCTCAAGAACAATCAGCATATCAATAATTGATCATTCTCAAGAACAATCAGCATATCAATAATAGATCATTCTCAAGAACAATCAGCATATCAATAATTGATCATTCTCAAGAACAATCAGCATATCAATAATTGATCATTCTCAAGAACAATCAGCATATCAATAATTGATCATTCTCAAGAACAATCAGCATATCAATAATTGATCATTCTCAATCAGAACAATCAGCATATCAATAATTGATCATTCTCAAGAATCAGCAATCAGATCATCAAGAACAATCAGCATATCAATAATTGATCATTCTCAAGAACAATCAGCATATCAATAATTGATCATTCTCAAGATCAATAATTGATCATTCAATCAGCATATCAATAATTGATCATTCTCAAGAACAATCAAGATCATTCTCTCAGAACAATCAGCATATCAATAATTGATCATTCTCAAGAACAATCAGCATATCAATAATTGATCATTCTCAAGAACAATCAGCATATCAATAATTGATCATTCTCAAGAACAATCAGCATATCAATAATTGATCATTCTCAAGAACAATCAGCATATCAATAATTGATCATTCTCAAGAACAATCAGCATATCAATAATTGATCATTCTCAAGAACAATCAGCATATCAATAATTGATCATTCTCAAGAACAATCAGCATATCAATAATTGATCATTCTCAAGAACAATCAGCATATCAATAATTGATCATTCAATAATTGATCAAGAACAATCAGCATATCAATAATTGATCATTCTCAAGAACAATCAGCATATCAATAATTGATCATTCTCAAGAACAATCAGCATATCAATAATTGATCATTCTCAAGAACAATCAGCATATCAATAATTGATCATTCTCAAGAACAATCAGCATATCAATAATTGATCATTCTCAAGAACAATCAGCATATCAATAATTGATATCAAGAACAATAATATCAATGATTCATTCTCAAGAACAATCAGCATATCAATAATTGATCATTCTCAAGAACAATCAGCATATCAATAATTGATCATTCTCAAGAACAATCAGCATATCAATAATTGATCATTCTCAAGAACAATCAGCATATCAATAATTGATCATTCTCAAGAACAATCAGCATATCAATAATTGATCATTCTCAAGAACAATCAGCATATCAATAATTGATCATTCTCAAGAACAATCAGCATATCAATAATTGATCATTCTCAAGAACAATCAGCATATCAATAATTGATCATTCTCAAGAACAATCAGCATATCAATAATTGATCATTCTCAAGAACAATCAGCATATCAATAATTGATCATTCTCAAGAACAATCAAGCATATCAATCAATAATTGATCATTCTCAAGAACAATCAGCATATCAATAATTGATCATTCTCAAGAACAATCAGCATATCAATAATTGATCATTCTCAAGATATCAATTCTCAGAACAATCAGCATATCAATAATTGATCATTCTCAAGAACAATCAGCATATCAATAATTGATCATTCTCAAGAACAATCATATCAAGAACAATCAGCATATCAATAATAGATCATTCTCAAGAACAATCAGCATATCAATAATAGATCATTCTCAAGAACAATCAGCATATCAATAATTGATCATTCTCAAGAACAATCAGCATATCAATAATTGATCATTCTCAAGAACAATCAGCATATCAATAATAGATCATTCTCAAGAACAATCAGCATATCAATAATAGATCATTCTCAAGAACAATCAGCATATCAATAATAGATCATAACAATCATTCTCAAGAACAATCAGCATATCAATAATAGATCATCCTCAAGAACAATCAGCATATCAATAATAGATCATTCTCAAGAATAATCAGCATATCAATAATTGATCATTCTCAGGAACAATCAGTATTTCAATTCTTGGTAATTCTTAGGAACAATCAGCAATGATTTTTGTCCATGCTGAAACCGCCTGTCTTCAATTTGTACAACGTTAGCCAACCGCTGGATGTAGATAGTGGGGGTTTCTCTCACATCACCCTCACTAGCATAATACAAATGGGGACAATTCATGCCAAGAAAACTACCCATTGTACCTAGATCTAATAAATTCTTGTAGAAGCTTCAGCCTTCCAACAGAAATCTGAATAAAAGCAAAAGCTGTCAATGTAACCTTGTCGTTAAAGAAATCTGTATGAACTTCCTGCAAACCCAATTAAGTACATCATTCTGTGAGATAATAACGAGGTAACCCCTGTCATCAGAACTTTACAAACATTTCATCGAATAACAGGTTACCCATGGTGTTATCTATAGTCAGTTTCGTCGGCTTGGTTGATGCAGGTCGTCGTATCATATCTTGTCCAAACTTCATTGTTCGACTTGAATATTTCTGTGTGACATGTTAAACAACAAACCAATATTATGAAAACTTTATCTATAATTATAAAAAAAAACATTCTGATTTCCGTAATTCATTTAGTTAGTAAGTACCCCCTCATGGTCTGGTGAATAGAGTGTCTACCCATAGAACGGAGTGTTAGTTTTAGATCCCTCTCATCTGTGTCTTACCAAAAGACGTAAAATATGGCACTTGTTGTTACTCTACCTGCCGCTCGGATTCAAGGGAACAGTTCAGAATCAGTATGGTAATCCATTAAAAACTGTGGCACACATTCGTCGGGACAACTACAAGCACCCCGCACATCCAAGGACGTTGCAATATAATGAGATACATTTGATCATGTAGTTAAAATTCCGTTGGACCTGATTTATTTTCCTCCTGTACATGTCTTTAGTTATACAGGGGTGCAATACGGATGACGTCATCAAATTCCGTATTGCACCCCAGATTCCGTATTGGACCCCTACCGCTAGGCTATGATTTGTTTTATTAAATAACAGATTAATGCAAGATAGGTGGGTATATAATAACTATAGAACGTCATACTAGTGCATTTGGATGTTTTGTATAAGAGGGTATGTAATACATATAGAACGTCACACTAGTGCATTTGGATGTTTTGTATAAGAGGGTATATAATAGATATAGAACGTCATACTAGTGTATTTGGATGTTTTGTATAAGAGGGTATATAATACATATAGAACGTCATACTAGTGCATTTGGATGTTTTGTATAAGAGGGTATATAATAGATATAGAACGTCATACTAGTGTATCTGGATGTTTTGTATAAGAGGGTATATAATACATATAGAACGTCATACTAGTGTATTTGGATGTTTTGTATAAGAGGGTATATAATACATATAGAACGTCATACTAGTGTATTTGGATGTTTTGTATAAGAGGGTATATAATACATATAGAACGTCATACTAGTGCATTTGGATGTTTTGTATAAGAGGGTATATAATAGATATAGAACGTCATACTAGTGTATCTGGATGTTTTGTATAAGAGGGTATATAATACATATAGAACGTCATACTAGTGTATTTGGATGTTTTGTATAAGAGGGTATATAATAGATATAGAACGTCATACTAGTGTATCTGGATGTTTTGTATAAGAGGGTATATAATACATATAGAACGTCATACTAGTGTATCTGGATGTTTTGTATAAGAGGGTATATAATACATATAGAACGTCATACTAGTGTATTTGGATGTTTTGTATAAGAGGGTATATAATACATATAGAACGTCATACTAGTGCATTTGGATGTTTTGTATTGAACTCGAAGATGTCATAGGGGCAAATGTATGCAAGGGTTCTTGTTATACCTGACGGTCTGAAAAACACAATGAACTCCGTGGATGCCCAACTGGAATCAGTTGTTAGGGACATGTGATCAATCTCTGTGGCGTGTTGCTCATAGCGTGACCTCCACGACGGCCTTTGCTCATCATATCAATCATTAGATTGTTTGGTCCGCGTTCAAGTATGTTAAACAGCAAGTAGATTTGACGGAACATTGCTGAGTGTTTCGTTCAACAACACAGTCAAAACGAGGAAGATAATTCCATATGATATGCAAGTTCTTTATTTCCATGTATGCGATGTTTCTGCGTAGATGATAACGCTGTTATCCAAAAGGCAAACACAGTCAAAGGTTCTCGCTGGGAAAATGTTCACTGTAGCATGAAACTGTCACTGACGAACGAACGAACTAATCAGAGGAAGACACGAAGTACCAACACAAGTACATTAAAGCTGCATTGGTTCACTGACGATTCCATGTCACTAATGATCTCCAATACCATCACACTTGGAAGATCTGATCAGGGTGCCATGGCATCATTCAGAATCCATGTAAATATGGGGATATTCGTGACATATGAACACATTATGAGAACATACATGAATAAATGCGGTCATTAGCACAAGCTTGTCATCAATGGATGTGATTGTGTTATTCGAAGCACAAAATATATATATTGAGTTTGGCACTGACAACTACAGTTCAGTCATAGCAACAATAACTTCATGGACTGTACATAAAGTGATATATTCCTGATAATGTCAAATATCATTAAGACATCAACGTGCTCCATTTCCTTTACTTTACTTGTTAGAGTCACCAAGTCAAAGATTGTCAAACACAGTTTATACATAGATATACAGTTTATATCCTTATTGTTGAGATTCCTTCGTCTCTTCGTCTGGCAGATCCAGGTGTTTCTCTATCACCATCTGTTTCTTCTGGGCCTTGTTCCTGTAGTAGCAGCAGGTCGCCGACACAAGGAACACCAACCCCACGCTGTTGGCGAGTCCCACCACTGCTGCTATAGCGGGGAGGACGCGGGGGTCCTCAGGGGAAGCAACTGCAACACGAATTTAGTGATTCGTAACTACTCGTGTCATTCCGGCAAGCCGGATGGCGTCTCGTACCCCTCTCTTGGCCATGTTTACGACTGGGCCCTGTCTAAGCAGAAAAGGGGATGGAGATGAACAGAGTCAAGTACTATTACCAAGGAAAGATAACTCTGAATTTCCAAACATAACGTCGCCATAAAACTATAAAACCAACAAACCAACATAACTCATAGAATATCCTTTATCCCGTGGGCAAAACAGCAATACAGTCATTCCCTTTGTAAATATGTCAGTTTTTAAAAGTTTCTGATCCTTTAGCTCAATGTTTATGCTTAAATTGTACTTTGTATAGTTTAGCGAAGTTTCAAACTTCAACGGTGCCGCCATTTTCTTGCTTCGAAATGCGTTTTACTGCGATGATTTGATTGGTTTGCCACTATACATGGCAATATTGGGGTAGGATAGGGGGTACGGGTCTTCTTGTAGGTCACGGAAAGAGGCGAGTAGTTACGAATGGAATGTAGATTTACAAAAGCAGACAACTTCACCACGAAATACCATGTGTACAGTAACATGTTGGTACCTGTTTTCGTCAGAGATGTGTTTGACATAGATCTCTATGGAACTCATATATTTCTTCTCTGTGTGGAATCTGTGATTCTTTTCCATTGCAAGCGAAATATTACTTATCGTACTTGAATATCGATTTCTATTATTATTTGTCGTCTTGCCATGTGTACATTAACATTTGTTGTGACAAAACTCAGTTTCCGTTTGAAAATACTGCACGTGTTTGATCCGAAATCAAGAGGAACATCCGTTTTTGCACGTGTGTCATTTTGCCATATATTTAGACATCTCATATTGCTTTTACGTACGACATTTTACGCCAATGACCATTTTAACTAAAACATGCTCGTAGGTCAATGTTTTTATACCTGGCAATTACGGTTTACACTAAGGTTTGTCGTTTACATATTTGGAAATTAACGTTTTCACTTAGGTACGTCGTTTTCATACCTGGCAATTACGGTTTACACTTAGGTTTGTCGTTTACATATTTGGAAATTAACATTTACACTTAGGTACGTCGTTTTCATATCTGGCATTTACAGTTTACACTTATGTATGTCGTTTACATATCTGGCAATATTACGGTTTACACTTCGCTACGTCTTCTTCATATTGGGAAATTACGGTTTACACTTAGGTACGTGGTGTACCTTTCATACAGTCACTTATATTAGTTACATCGTTTACCAATCAGACAATCACAACTTAAACTTAGATAAGTCGTTTACCAATCAGACAACTGACACTTAGGTACATCGTTTACCAATCAGACAATCACAATTTAGACTTAGGCACGTCGTTTACAAATCAGACAATCACAACTTACACTTAGGCACGTCGTTTACCCATCAGACAATCACAACTTACACTTAGGCACGTCGTTTACCCATCAGACAATCATAACTTTCACTTAGGCACATCGTTTACCAATCAGACAATCACAACTTACACTTAGGCGCGTCGTTTACCAATCAGACAATCACAACCTACACTTAGGCTCATCGTTTACCAATCAGACAATCACAACTTACACTTAGGTAAATCGTTTACCAATTAGACAATAACAACTTACACTTAGGTACATCGTTTACAAATCAGACAATCACAACTTACACTTAGGCACATCGTTTACCAATCAGACTATCACAACTTACACTTAGGTACGTCGTTTACCAATCAGACTATCACAACTTACACTTAGGTACGTCGTTTACCAATCAGACAATCGCAACTTACACTTAGGTACGTCGTTTACCAATCAGACAATCGCAACTTACACTTAGGCACATCGTTTACCAATCAGACAATCACAGCTTACACTTAGGTACGTCGTTTACCAATCAGACAAGCACAACTTACACTTAGGTACGTCGTCCACATATCTGACCCTGAACCTGCTAGTTCCGGAGAGAGGGCTAGATGTAAACTTGAGTAGTACAGCGGAGTTGGAGCTGGTCAGGGTGGTGTTACTGGACGTGCACCAGGTCGCCAACACGGGGCTTGTCGTGCTGTTACCTAAGAGACAGGTGCGTATAGTACACAAGTGAGTGAGTTGAACGCACGCTTTTTTTTCAATAAATTCACTTTTTGCTCAAAATGGTTTTAGTGAGTAATTTGACTTAAGGCTGCTTAGAGTATTTTTATGTGTGTAAGCGTTTTAATAATAAGAAACTAGAACTTAAAGTTGTGCCAACAATTTCGAAACAAAAGCGGTTTCTTGTGTGTGCTTTTGCGCTGTATCTGAATATAAGTGGCTACTATTCCGAGCGTCACTGTCAAGTAAACATCTCATAATACTACAGGAACCCTCTGTACTCTCACCGTCAAACACGGTGATGTTGTCAGAACAGTCAGTAGGGAGGGAGTGGTCGAGCAGTTCCAGGATGACGGCGTGACCACCCGGTGAGGTGACCAGGTACACGCAACTCAGATTCCTGCGGGCAAAATTATAACTGTGGTATTAAACTGAAAAAAACGGTCACTTGGAACTTATTAGCATCAAACAGACATGAGCGAGTGGACAGGATAACACACACAGTGTACCCATGTACAGAATCAAACCCAAGCCTTCGATGTGACGAAGCCAAAGCTTTAACCACTTGCCCACCTTACCGTTCACTGAACTGAAAGCATATACCTTGCATAGGGAGTCGGATAACCTGGTGATTCCAGGAACTGGTCTCTCCCCGATGATTCAAGATCCGTAGTCCCGAAGCACCTGTTGTCTGGAAAGTAAACATGTCATATTGCCTGAAAATGTAAGTCTTGGTGAAACTGCAGTAGCATGTTACCTTAGAAACATATCACGTGGTACGTTGAGGTCACGTATTAGGTTTGTTTTAATCTCTTTAGTTAATACAACAGGTAAGTTGGTCAAAAATGGATGTATTTTTCTATCAATACTTTACTGACGTGAGTGAGTGAGTTTAGTTTTACGCCGCACTCGGCAATATTGCAGCTATATGGCGGCGGTCTGTAAATAATCGAGTCTGGTCCAGACAATCCAGTGATCAACTGCATGAGCATCGATCTACGTAATTGGGATACGATGACATGTGTCAACCAAGTCAGCAAGCCTGACCACCTGATCCCGTAAGTCACCTCCTACGTCTAGCGGGGGTTACTGAAGATCAATTCCAACTATATTCCAATACTATTTTCCAGTGGAAGGTTTTAGTGACGTCGTGAATGAACATAATACATAGAACGCATAGAACTACAATACACGACATTATGAACGAAGTTAAGTACGAGGGGTTTTCTCTAGCACAACGAATATCATCCTCTAAAATTAATTAACAGTAATAATCTAAATCAGTGTAAGACACAATTTAAAAAAAAAAGATTTTTTTAAATGAATATAAACTGCAAACTGTATCCTTGATTCACCAAACACCAAAGTATGAGATACTAACTGGAGATACCCATATAGATACAACAGTTGATCAGAACAATGAATGAGATGGTTTTGTTGTGCTAACGCCGTTATTAAAAAACACTTGCCTTATAACGGTGTTAGTATCTGCACGGAAACAAAGCACTCATAGAAGTTGCCGATAGAATTATCTCCATTGTTCTTCCATCAACCTCAAAATATCATTTAAAGAAGTTATGTGGAAATAATGACATAAATAGGTAGGAAATATGACTACATTGAAATAAGGACTCCTCCAGTGAATATTTCGTACGAATTAATGATGAACGATCTTGTTTTTATGCATATATTCGTATCTTATGTTGTTACTTATAACAACAGTAACATGACGTTTCGGTTACTGTACCTTCCACTGCGGAGTATTCCCACGTGACATGAACGAAGTGCCCGGCTGTTGAGGCGACGAGTTCCACAAAGAGGTAAGCAGATGTACTTGAGAAGACCGGCGGCCGAGTGAATCGCTGACCACAGTATTCCCCGAGTCGGGGTGACGACCGGTTGTATCCTGGGTGGTGAAGTGAATGAGTGAGTGGGTGTGGTTTAACGCTGGTTTTAGCAATATTCCAGCAATATCCAAACTTGGGGACACCAGAAATGTTATTTACTCGTTGTACCTATATGGGGAATCAAACACAAGTATTTTGCGTTACAAGGCTTTATATCTTTTGGAAGAATCAGCTTGAAAATATATGTCACCAAACATAGAAGCTTCAAACACAACACACGTGGAACAATCAGTTCTTACTTAATTCATCACATTCTGCAATAGCAGCAGCAGCAGTAGTAGCAGCAGCAGTAGTAACAGTAGTAGTAGTAGTAGTTGCAGTAGTAGTGACAGTAGTAGTAGTAGTAGTAGTAGTAGCAGTAGTAGTAGCAGTAGTAGTAGTAGTAGTAGCAGTAGTAGTAACAGTAGTAGTAGTAGTAGCAGTAGTAGTGACAGTAGTAGTAGCAGTAGTAGTAGCAGTAGTAGTAGCAGTAGTAGTAACAGTAGTAGTAGTAGTAGTAGCAGTAGTAGTGCAGTAGTAGTAGTAGTAGTAGTAGTAGCAGCAGTAGTAACAGTAGTAGTAGTAGTAGCAGTAGTAGTGAGCAGTAGTAGTAGTAGTAGTAGCAGTAGTAGTAACAGTAGTAGTAGTAGTAGCAGTAGTAACAGTAGTAGTAGTAGTAGTAGCAGCAGCAGCAGTAGTAGTAGTAGTAGTAGTAGTAGCAGCAGTAGTAGTAGTAGCAGTAGTAACAGTAGTAGCAGCAGTAGCAGCAGCAGCAGCAGTAGTAGTAGTAGTAGTAGCAGCAGCAGTAGTAGTAGTAGTAGTAGCAGTAGTAGTAGTAGTAGCAGCAGCAGCAGCAGCAGCAGTAGTAGTAGTAGTAGTAGTAGTAGTAGTAGCAGTAGTAGTAGTAGTAGTAGTAGCAGCAGCAGCTGTCCATGCTGTCCATGCGCCATGGTCCAATGGATAACATTTCTGCTATCGAGTGCCATAAAAAAAAAGACTTTAAATAGATATTATTTGTTGTTTTCCTGAATGACTCTCGATATTAAGAGGATGAAGCAAGGACTTATCGGGTCGCATCGGAGTATTCTGTTTGCAGAAGTCTAGGATAGTACAAGCAGTCGTCAGTACGTCTCTAATGTAAAAACAATGTATCATTAGGCCACATTTAAGTTCACCCGTGTATGTGTTCAGAAACGTAAAATATGACCATTCTGTTAATAAGTGTGCATGTTGCAGCCTACTGACCGTCGTACACCACGAAGTAGTCGCCGCTGCACTGTACCCCTGCCCTTCGGACCAGGTTGCTGTCCTTAAACGTTAAACTGACGAGGCTGTCTGCTCCAGTCGCCTTCAGCCGGAATGTACACTGGGTAGAACTGAAACAGAAGCTTGTCTGGTGAACGTATCCTCTTGTACGCTTTGGTTTATGGTACAGGTGAGTGGGTCAGTGATGTTGTGCGTTGTAGTATATAGCACACACTTGAGTTGTACACAAGACCGGGGACGGTGGGGTAGCCTAGTAGATAAAGCGTCGTTCGTCACGCTGAAGACCCGGGTTCGATTCCCTACATGGGTACAATGTGTGAAGACCATTCCTGGTGTCCCCCGCCGTGATATTGCAGGAATATTGCTAAAAGCGCACTCACTCACACAAGACTGAGTAAGCTGATCCTCGTGTTAGTGTATTGACAGCCATCCGTAGCTCACTGTTACAGCTGGCGATGAATGTGGACACGTGGTGATACAGTGCACATAACCCCACAACGACAGAAGACTGAACATGACGACACCTGACAACACTCACTCACTCACTCACCCATTCCACTCATACAGTTACTATTTTTACAGTATACAGTCCCCAGTGTTTAATAGTGTTATCGGAGTGTACCTTGTCGTTCCCTGGAAGACAGGGAGGTCCATGCGGAGGGTGTTGGTTTGTCCTGATACCATGATATCGTTAGGCTCTTCCTTACATCTGTACCCTGTAACGAGAGCAAGTGTGACATTTGTACTCTGTAACATATGTGTAACATCGACACTGGCAAGCAGACAATTTAGAGATGATAACATTAGGCACGCACAGTCTACATACCATTAGTAAATACAATAATAAGTCTCACATTTGACCCTCCAAGGTTATGCAAGATAACATATACATTTATCTTGCCTCACACATAAATGTCGCTTTCTGATTGACTGAGTGCTCTTCTATTAATATTATTTTCAATGTATCCCGCTTACCAATCGAGTAACATTTTTTCCATGTAACCCGCTGGGAATGCCGATCTCATTTGGTACTTCGTAGTGGTAATTCTTTATCTCAAATAACATTGAATCACGTATGGTGTACGGAAATTACCGATGTTTTGCGAATGCAAATCGCTGGAAGGGAGGTAACTCTAAATTTGTTTTTCTTGTCTTGTCGTCTGGTACTCCATACTATGATCCGATATCCGTATCAAAATTATCATGGAGGTGTTCGCTTAAATATACGTTGTTCACTGGTCCTTTCGGGCTCAGGGAACATATACAAACATCGAGGGTACATCAGCCCATGCCCTCCTCGAGACCAGTGAACAACTTATATTAACATGTATTTAATCAGCCCCACCACCGTTACTTGTATGCTGGTATAATGTACATGTGCCTTATTTACCCAGCTACGAAGAAGTTTTGAGGAACGCTAACTAGATCTGCTCGCTACTGTTGGCTGTCCAGGAAGTAGCTCACCTTCGGCCTTGACCTCCACCAGGTATCTGACCCCAGGGCCGTCCACAGCTTGCCCAATCACCAGCTCCGTCTCTTCAGCTCGGTAGTATGGCTTCCCCTCTTCCGAGCACTTGGGTTGGTGCTGGAAGTCCATAGTGTCAGCATCTATCAGAGTGAGCGAAGCCTATGAACTGACTTGAAGCTGATAAAAGTGGAATTATGATAAAACAAACCACAGTTACTTCAGAAACAAAACTATCAACTGATTGAACAACGTTCGGTAGCGAGCGCACGTGGTTATCTAAACTGTGTGCCTGCTTCAACCTGACAACCCACCTACCCTTTCTGGTCAGAACAGCTGTAACAGCGCTTGTGGTGTTCACCGTTCAGTTGTATTAAATTGTACAATGACGCACGTCTGTATTTTTTGTATTAAATGGGGCTGCGGGGGTGGCCTAGTGGTTAAAGGGTTCACTCGTCACGCTGAAGACCCTAGTTCGATTCCACGCACGGGTACAATTTCTGGTGTCCACCGCCATGATATTGCTGGAATATTGCTGGAATATTGCTGAAACCGGCGTTAACCCATACTCACTCACTTTGATTAAAGACCGCCTCCGTGGTGTAGTGGTTAGAGCGTCCGCCCGGAGTGCGGAAGGTCGCGGGTTCTATCCCCGACCGCGTCATACCAAAAGACGTTAAAATATGGTACTTGTTGGTCCCTGCCTGGCGCTCGGCATTAATTGGTACAACAAGGACTGGTCGGCTCGGAGTCAGTATAATGTATCTGAGTGGGGTATTCATGCTTCACTGCGGCATGGTATCTCAGTGGGCTAGCACTATAAAACCAGCGTAAGTCTGGACTAGTACAAGCAGCCGCACATACACATACACACGCATGCACGTCGTCATATGAGCGAAATATTCTCAAACACGACGTTAAACCCAATTCCACCACCACCACCACCACTTTGATTAACAATAACTGAAGCGGCCTTAAAAAGTGACCAAGAACAGGCGTCAACCCGCCTCTTTCCCTATACCTCTCCTTTTCTGGAAGCACGTACGGTGTAACTCTCGGGGTATCGGTACTCTCGTATGTGCTTCTCATCTCCAGCCTCACCCAGCGGAAAAACAAATACAACGAGGAGAATGATGTCATCACAAATGGGAGTACATTTCCACAGAAAATTGAGATGAGAAGACTTGTTTAAATTTCACGGATTGAAAATTCAACTCGGGCGTTAGATGGGAAACACAGAAAGAATACGCATATCCTTTTGACTAGCACCATATGGGTACAATGTGTGAAGTCCATTTCTGGTGTCCCCCGCTATGATGTTGCTGGAATATTGCTTAAAGCGGCGTAAAACTAAACTCACTCCCTTACTCACTTTTGACTAGCACGGGTACCACGGGAACCTTAATCCCAGGGCGTGTTCCTCTGACGGAAGTAAAACTACAGATTTTACAACTGTATAGCCACTACAACCGAGTTTAGTCATACCTACATGAAGAGACTTGTATGTAGTTGACGCCGCACTGGAGGGGTGTCACTGACGTTGACGCCAGGACAGTGATGACCAGGCTACTGGACAGTCCGAGTGACCGGATACCGGCGGACACGGGGCAGGGCTGGCCACTGTGAAGGATGCGGGTTACGGTCAGACGGATCAGGCAGCATGAGTGAGCGAGTAGTTACACATGGAAACACATCTATGTACATCAGAAATGACCTTAAACATGCTATAAGTGAATGACTAGACATTCAGAGGCGCTTTATGCATAGTCACAGCTCTCCCATGATCGTCACACATTGTATATTCTACGCGAACCCATTTCTGCGGTGTGACAAAGCTTTAACTCTAAGCTATAAATGCATATAAGGCGTTGTGGTTGCGTTTAGTTAAGTTGCGTCCCTTAAATGGACCACGATCCGCGTAGTCGTTGATTCCGATTCTTAATAAGCGAGTGTTTGGTTATACAATGTCAATGTCCAAAGTTGAGATGAAGGATGTGATATAAAACTGCACTTCTGGGTGTTGGGTCACATAAATTCCTCTATCATCATGTTGTTAGTAGGTAAAGCGTTGGCTCGTCACGCCGAAGAGTATTGCAATACATGCGCCTTAACATCTTCTGCTGCATCAGTTGAAACTTAACCATGTACCTACTCTTGTGTCCAAGCATATACCTCAACAGTAAGGCAAATTGTCGATACATTATACTAATAAGATATGTAAGTGATGCTCTCTGAACCTGACAAATACGGATTACAACAAAAGCCTCGTACTTTGTTGAGGTAGTTTTAGTCCCATTGAAACACAGGGGCGTAGCTTCTATTTATGAAAAGCCCGGGCTTACACGATTGTTGCCCAAAAGGTTGGGAAAGTGATTCCATAGGCAAGCCCTCAATACTATCTAAATATAACGCTTTGCACCTATCGGGCAAACACGAAAAATGGCTTGCTTCGCGCCTGAAACACCATAACGATATATCTTTAAAGTGGTTGTACTCACTCCAGTCTGAAAGAGAATGGTATCCACATGTAGACCGGGCTGAAGGGAATCTGGACAGTCGGGAACACACCGCTGCCACAGTCTCCTGGAACACCACGGGTCAAGGCTGAGTCTATGTGTAGGGAGTGTGTGGGTGTGAGTCTGACAGACAGATTGCTTACTTACGTCTCACCATATGTACATTAGAATGAATAATACATGTAAAATATACAGTAAAAATTATAAATGTACATACTCCATTCCAATCATGAGATAAAATCATGAGATTGATAATCTGTAAGATCTTTAAAGTTTCGTTATATATATGACTGCAAGTAAGTCTTTAAAATTGTACCAGCACCCGCTGTTCTCTTAAGATGGTCTGGAATCACCTGGAAAGCGTATTGTTACCTAGGTTACCCTTCAACGTGTGTCAGTTTGATGTTACCTAGGTTACCCTTCAACGTGTGTCAGTTTGATGTTACCTAGGTTACCCTTCAACGTGTGTCAGTTTGATGTTACCTAGGTTACCCTTCAACGTGTGTCAGTTTGATATGAGGCACGCTGGAGCGTGGTCTGTTTCATGCTGTTGATCACTGACTGGTCCAGACTTGGATTATTTACAGACCGCCGCCATATAGCTGAATATTGCTGAGTGTAGCGTTAAACAACAAACCAACCAGTCGTAGTGGCGCTGGTGTTTCTCAAGCAAAATCCCGGTCCACGTCACGTATTGTTTTGGCACCGAGGAACAGTTTGTCTTCTTCCACCTACCTGATGCTCTGATCTGTCTGTGCACCATGACACCAAGCTGTGCTGGACTACGGGTGTCGACTGTCTGTCTTCTTCCACCTACCTGATGCTCTGATCTGTCTGTGCACCATGACACCAAGCTGTGCTGGACTACGGGTGTCGACTGTCTGTCTTCTTCCACCTACCTGATGCTCTGATCTGTCTGTGCACCATGACACCAAGCTGTGCTGGACTACGGGTGTCGACTGTCTGTCTTCTTCCACCTACCTGATGCTCTGATCTGTCTGTGCACCATGACACCAAGCTGTGCTGGACTACGGGTGTCGACTGTCTGTCTTCTTCCACCTACCTGATGCTCTGATCTGTCTGTGCACCATGACACCAAGCTGTGCTGGGGTACGCGTGACGACTGTCTGTCTTCTTCCACCTACCTGATGCTCTGGGCTGTCTGTGCACCATGACACCAAGCTGTGCTGGGGTACGGGTGGCGACTGTCTGTCTTCTTCCACCTACCTGATGCTCTGGGCTGTCTGTGCACCATGAGACCAAGCTGTGCTGGGGTGCGGGTGGCGACTCTCTGGGTGAGTCTGGTCTGAAATAACAGCGAGCGCCCGGGCTGTACACGGTGGTGAAGCCCGTGTCAGTACACCACAGAGCGATGGGGGCACTGCTATTTGACGTCCCTGCAATACGAGTGATAATATTTAGCAACAGTGCAACAATACCACGGCTGGGGAAACCCAAAATGGACATCACACACATCAAAATCAACGGACTTCACAAAACATCGTCGCCAATACCACCAGCACAACAGCAACCACCATCACCACCAGGGGCGTGGTGAGCGAGCTGGCTAAAGCGCCAGACTAGTGATCCAGCGGGCATGAGGTGCCGGGATCGAGCCCACCTGTGACCGGGTGTAAAACCTTGGAGTCAACTTTGTGTGCAGACTCTTTCAGTGTTGTCACAACCCCTAGTGTACAGCACACAAATCTGTGCACTTAAAAGAACCCACGAATCCGTTGGTATGTGACCAGATGGTTGCCACATGAATACGTGCAAACATCTAGTTGTGGGTACAGCAACGTGCAGTAAACTTGGATAAAGTACTGTGACTATGTGTCCCAGTCCACCCAGCTGTGCATCACCAGCACCAATCAGCACCAACACTACCACCAGCACCATCATCACCACCATCACCAACACCATCACCATCACCATCACCAATCACCAACACCATCATCATCACCATCATCACCATCACCATCACCATCACCATCATCATCATCATCATCATCACCATCACCATCATCATCATCACCATCACCATCACCATCATCATCACCATCATCATCATCATCATCATCATCATCATCACCATCATCACCATCATCATCATCACCATCACCATCACCACCACCACCATCATCACCATCATCACCATCATCATCATCACCATCACCATCATCATCATCATCACCATCACCCACCAACACCATCACCATCACCATCACCATCACCAACGTCATCACCATCACCATCATCATCACCATCACCATCATCACCACCATCGCCAACACCAACACCAACACCACCATCATCATCCCCATCACCATCACCAACACCAACACCACCATCATCATCACCATCAACATCAACATCATCATCATCACCATCATCACCATCACCAACACCACCATCATCATCACCATCATCACCAACATCACCACCATTATCACTATCACCATCATCATCACCAACATCATCATCATCACCATCACCATCACCATAACCACCACCATCATCACCATCACCAACAAGAACACCAACACCACCATCACCATCACCATCACTAACACCAACACCAACACCAACACCAACACCAACACCAACACCAACACCATCACCATCACCATCACCATCACCAACACCATCACCAACACCAACACCATCACCAACACCAACACCATCACCATCACCATCACCATCACCATCACCATCACCATCACATCACCATCATCACCAACACCAATCACCATCATCACCACCATCACCAATCACCATCACCATCATCATCACCATCACCAACACCATCACCATCACCACCATCATCACCATCACCATCACCATCACCACCACATCACCACCACCACCATCATCATCACCACCATCACCATCACCATCATCATCACCATCACCATCACCATCACCATCACCATCATCACCAACACCAACACCATCACCATCACCATCACCATCACCAACACCAACACCAACACCAACACCATCACCATCACCATCACCACCACCATCACCATCACCATCACCATCACCATCACCATCACCATCACCATCACCACCATCACCATCACCACCACCAACACCAACACCATCACCATCACCATCACCAACACCAACACCATCACCATCACCATCACCATCACCATCACCATCACCATCACCATCACCATCACCATCACCAACACCATCACCATCACCAACACCACATCACCATCACCAACACCATCACCAACACCAACACTACCACAAGCACCAGCAGCACACACCAACAACAACACCATCACCTGACTTCAACATTCAATATCACCACGCAATAAAGCCTGGAACATCAAACCTTTCGGATAGCAACTCGCCACGCTGTATAAAATGACACGTCAGTCTTTACCCCATAACTCACCCTGCACTGTAGTCGGGTAGATCCAGCCGTACGGGTGTGGCACCGATCTCCACCCTCTGCACCGTGCCGGGTATACACTTGGGGTAGTTCACACCACGATCTCCTGTTGGGCGACACATCATGTGTGAGAATGGAATAAGGTATATCATAACGGCCTGTATATAGAAGTGGGAACAGTGGAAACCCCTTACTGAACGTAAGAATGGCGCTCGCCAGACACTGACAGACCGGTGAGCAAGCTCAGAGAGTTAAGTCAGAGAACATGGTTACTCTTACAGGGTGTCTTATACCATTACTGCAAGGTAATTTGGCACTATTTGATGTATATCTTCATTTATTACCTACGAGGACGAAAATATCAGGGTTCATATTTTTCATACGATGCCCTAGGGCAAAATATCACTTTGTCATGGTGACGTGACGTCATGAACAATGCTATGACGTTACGTTTCTTCTGTGACCTTGCGTTCTACAGGCGGCGACGGTGGGTAGCCAGCCTGTGTTTGAAAGTAGATTTGGGTTCATTTTCCTCGATTTGACGACTTCGGTAATAAACAGAATATTATATTCGTGCCCATATCATACTATGGTTTACGACACTCGCTCTCGCTCGGGAAATACCAACATTTAGGCACTCGTGTCGTAAATATAGCTTTATGACATGGGCACTCATATAATATCCTCTATTTATCATCCAAAACTGTGTTCCACTTGTACAATGCCCTGACAATGCTATGACGTCATGAACTTGATGACGTCATAATGCTATAACACTGCTGCACTTCAATTCTAATGGCAGTACCGTGTTTAGAGATGTACAGTTATCAATGAAAACTAATGAAGAATGATTGTGGATGATATATAGAATCTCATCCTCGTATCTTCTGATATCAAATATACTGAACATCATTGAAAACGCACCACCTGTAAATTTTTGAAATATGGTAATCGGATTGTTTTGAAAGTGAAAATGAACGTTGGAAATGTTGTTAATAACACAAAAGACAATAAATAATGTTGTACAGTAAAGAACGGATTGCCCGAACACATCATGGAACACATCACATGACAACAACAAAATTCATGCACAACACACACGAAAAGCACAAATTGCATGCGTAAAACATGCTGATTAGGGTATAAATGACCGTCGGCAAAAACCGTTCTCATTTTAGCTGTACCTCCGCAAGTAAAGTTTATTTTGCAATGCCAAGATTGTCACCAGAGGAACGAGAACGGGCGTTGGGCATGTTGCAGGTTGGCACATCAAGCAGGATTATTGCCAGACGATTTGGTTGCCATCATTCCACCATCATAAGACTTGCCAACAGGTACCAACAAACAGGAACCACCAGGGACCGCCAACGTCCTGGCCAGGCACGTGTTACCACCCCTCGCCAAGATCGAGACATTGTTCGGCGCCATATTCGGGATCGTACGTTGCCGGCTGCCAGAACCGCCAACGCTGTCCAAGGCCGACGTGGTTTGATCAGTGCTTCCACCGTCCGACGCCGTCTCCGTGCGGCAGGATTACGGTGTCGACGCCCTTATGTTGGACCCATCCTGACTGATAGACATCGCCGTGAACGCCGACGATGGGCTGAACAGCATCGTTTGTGGTTGTTACGACGTTGGCATGGTGTTGTGTTCCCCGACGAGTCACGTTTTCACTTCCGAAATGCTGACAGGCGTCTACGGGTATGGCATCGACGGGGAGAACGTTACCATCAGGACTGTGTTGTGAAAAACAGATCGGTGGGGTGGACCCAGCATTATGGTGTGGGGAGGGATCAGTTATCACAAAACCGCTCTGGTAGTTTGTCGTGGCAGAGTAAATCCCTTTACTACCGTGACACCATTCTTTAGAACAACGTCGTTCCCTTCTTTAACCAACATCAAGATCAGTACACATTCCAGCAGGACAATGCTCGAGCGCACACTGCACGTGTTGCAACACAGTTTCTGGCAAACAACAACATTCATCTACTTCCATGGCCTGCATTGTCACCAGATTTGTCTCCCATTGAACACTTGTGGGATTACATCGGCCAACACCTCTCACGTCGCCCACAGATCAACAACCTTGGGGAACTTGAGAATGCCTTGCAACAAGAGTGGAATGCATTGCCTCAAAACATTATTCAGAGACTTATCAGTTCAATGAGGAGACGTTGCACAGCTTGTGTTGTTGCTAACGGTGGTCATACACGTTACTGACTTTCCAATTTGACTCCATCTTTCTTTCATGGTCAGCTGAATTAAAACTTCACTGTTTTGCTGGATTGGTTCCTGTTTATTTTCTTTACCAATCATTGGACTACAAAAGTATGTAAAATTTACACGGATTGCTCATTATGCTCTTGGAAATTCAAACTAATACACGTGGTGCGTTTTCAATGGTGTTCAGTATATATCAATACTCGTTGATGAAAGTAAAACTATCCTTGACAAGCCTCGGATATTTGTAACTCTGTCACCTCGTGTTGATATAATTGATATCAGTAGCAACTTGGGTGAGATTCTCTATGCATCGTTGTATTCCATGAGTGAGTGGAGATTACTGCCTTACCTTCATTCACCTCCCAGTATCTGAGAGCGAATCCCCGGCCCACCCTCGCACTGTCAGTAGTGAAGGACATGTAGATGGACCCCCCGGGCTCTGACTTCACCAGGGTAGGGGCAGATCTTCCACAGAGTCGTTCCAACAGCCTCCCCCCAGTGTCAGTCCCTGTATCAAATACAGAACACTGATGTCAGTCACAGCATCGTTACAGCACCTGTGGATGACATGCATTTACTGGACATAGCATGTAATCACCTAGAAAAGTGTTCATGAATATTCCATTTAATGGTAATACAGTGCACGACCATGAATACCCTGTCAATAGCTGATGTGTGGTAGTTTTTCAAGACTGGCAAAAGAAACTGTCATGTTTTTATATGTACACGTTGACATCTTTAACGGAGCTCACATACGCAGTGCACGTGCTACATACGACTGACGGACTGAGTTTGGTTTTACGCCGCTTTTAGCAATATTCCAGCAACATCACGGCGGGGCACACCAGAAATGGGCTTCACACATTGTGCCCATGTGGGGATTCGAACCCGGGTCTTCGGCATGACGAGCCAACGCTTTAACCATTAGGCTACCCCACCGCCCCCGTGCTACATACGTGTACATTGGGTTTGGTTTTGACTGACGAGGGGAATCATTCATATAATATATGCAGTTTGATATTTTTTTAACGATTTGTAAAAGTTTGGTTCATTCTGCAAACTATTCAGACCCTGTGGGCCAAAGGGGCACTTATCATCACTGAGCCATTTATATCACTAGCCAAAAGTATCTCTTCAAGTGTCATCAGAAATGTTGCAAATGATTGAAGAGCCGCATACACCGACCAATCACGTCATAGCTTTGTTTTGCTGACCAGCTCATGCCTCATAAACAATTCTCCTGGACATGTGAAATCCCTGGGATTCGGTACGCCATACCTTGATGTGTGAACATAAATAATCCTTGTCTTCAGTAAATGGATGACCTGGTTCTCATCTGGTTTTGACCTGATTGATCTTATAAACTACCTCCACTTTAATGTTCCCTGTTTCTGCTGTTCGAACCCTGACACAGACATATAATTCCATGCCCCCCTCTTCGACCATTGGCCTTATGAAAGATTTGAAGTTGTACTTCAGAAATGTTAGAAATTATCACTCGTATGTGTAATAGATTGTTAATAATTACCACTGACATGGCTAGTACGGGTATGATAGATAGATATTCTATATTTCCTCCATAAAATGAAGATTACATTTGTATGATAAACAACAGTACAGAAAACTTACTGATATTATACAGTAATATTGAATTGTGAAAGAACTGAAGGTATTTATGAGCATTGCCGGAGTATGCTCTCCCAACTGCTAACAGAGAAACTAATCATTACCATCAGTTGTGACCAAACATTATAATCCAGTACATCCTTACAGTGGTCAGGTATACCTCCGAGGAGGAATGACAGGAATACATCATCGTCTTCCATCCACATTTTAACAAAAATGTCTATGTCAAGAATATCACAGATTCTTTCAAATAGAGAATTCCTTTCTACTAAGTTATACTGGCATGGCATAAAAACATGTTTCATAATGTCGTGAGCAACTGTACCACATAGACATTCCTTTGATTCTATTGTAGTTGCACCAAGCCTTATAATTCTCGCAATGTCAGTGAAGTTCTGAGGTCGTTCTAAAGCGAGTATCCATAGTCTATGTTCTCGTCCTGATCTTATTGTTAGATATAATTACCATAATAATTACCACTGACATGGCTAGTACGGGTATGTGTAGTACTGGTATATGCTGGTATGTGAAGTACTGGTATGTGCTGGTATGGGTAGTAGTGGTATATGCTGGTATGTGTAGTAGTGGTATGTGCTGGTATGTGTAGTAGTGGTATATGCTGGTATGTGAAGTACTGGTATGTGCTGGTATGTGTAGTAGTGGTATATGCTGGTATGTGAAGTACTGGTATGTGCTGGTATGTGTAGTAGTGGTATGTGCTGGTATGTGTTGTACTGGTATGAACAGTAGTCAAAGAGTCAAGGTTTCATCAAGTATCATTTACTGGAGGCAGAATCATTATTGGCGTAGCAGCGGCGATTACTGTGCCAGGGCAACATGTGTTGAACATGATAGGGACAGTGTTGCCACCTTGTTGGCCGTTAAAACACAAGACATCCCGATGGATAAAGTAATTGTGAATGAGTGAGTCTGGTTTCACGCCACTTTTAGCAATATTCCAGCAATATCACGGCGGCAGACACTAGAAATGGACTTCACACATTGTATCCATGTGGGGAGGTTAAAGACTTAAGTGATTGTGCAACGAAGGCGAGGGAGAGAAAGGGATTGTATCACACCATGACGTGCACGCGTCAGATGCTGGTGTGGGAAACGTTGGCAAGGTCCTCTCCTCCATAAGTAGGTACTTCTCTCCTCATAGCCTACCGTCAACTGCCTTTCAGTAACGGAGCACCATTGGCCCTATCAATTCAATATCAATGACCAAACGAAACAATGAAACCGGATGAGGTAAAGCATGAACATATTCTGTTCATTTTCCTTTATGATAATTTGGAGTCTATATACCACTGTCCTGCCAACCCGTGCAGATCCGGATTATAGATGGTCTTCAGCAACCCTAGTCGTAAGGGGCGACTAACAGGATCGAGTGGTCAGGCTCGCTGACTTGGTTGACACATGTCATCGTATTATAAGCGCGTAGATCGATGCTCGTGATGTTGATCACTGAATTGTATGATGAAGACTTTGTACGATGATAATTTACGCCGCCGCCATATAGGTGAAATATTGCTGACTACGGCATTAAAAAAACAACCAACAAGCCAATCATACACGTTACCTTAAACGAGATTCACAGAAATGTACCTCAGACAGATAACATACTAATTTCGTAAAACTGGTCCCCCCTGCCATAATGTAATTAGGTCTACCTGAAGTAACAATGAACCCAGTCCTAACTATTTTCTGGAAGACGCGAAGGACGCAACCTTGAATATCACCTGTATGTCAAAACATGTCTGTTTAATAAGTAACATTCAAGGTTAACGCTTACACGTTGATCTAGCCTACTCCGGCTCCAACTGACACATATATGACACAAATGGACATAATGAACGTTACCCTTGGTTTAACACAGGTATCTGACTGCTGACGGCTCTACTAAGGGACGCAACTCTGATTCGCGACATGCATCGTCGACTGGGAAGCGGTAACCCCTCGAATGTTTTGAATCAGTAGACTTCACCCGCTGCACAACATCTGCTCTTGAGGATGTAAGCGGCATAAGCCAGTATCCAATGGCATGAGTTGATGAGATGGTCACCAGTTGAGAGTTCCAATCCAAGATTCTTTCCATTGTTAACTTACCAAGAAGGTGTTTTTAAGCTTACGAACTTAATTTACAAGTATTTACCACTTCAAAGATCAAAAGATAAAAAAGATAATCCCTGGCTCTCGCACGTTAAAAACATATTAGACAAGACTGGACTCTCGTATGTTTTTGAAAATCCCTCAATTTGTACTACCCAGTGGCTGGTCTCAAAAGTTGAACATATTCTTAAAGATCAATTTATCCAAAACTGGCACAATGACATTATTTCTAGTCCTAAGAGTATACACTATCAGCACCTAAAGCCATTTCCCAATTTTGATGTATATCTCCTCCTTCCAAAACGCATTTCTTTACCATTATTGAGATTTAGAATATGTAACGATAGTTTACCTATTGAGACGGGCCGTTGGTATAATATTCCAAGGGACGAGAGAACGTGTCAACTATGTACTTCTAAAAGCATCGCAGATGAATACCACTACATTTTTCATTGCAAAGCATTAATTACTTTGAGGAAAAGAATATTTACCCTCCCACCTAACCTCTTTTCCCAATGAAACAAAGTTCACGAAAATATTATCTGTAAAAACATCTCGAGACATAGTAAATCTATCAAAATATGTCCTACATCTATCATCTCTTGTCAGAAAAAAATGTTAATATGTTGTTAACTGCCATCTTGAATTTGAATTTGTATTTGTATATATGTTTACAATATAAGCTCTTGTACCACCAAGGTGGTTTATGAGAATAAAGAATTGAATTGAATTGTTAACATTGGTGTGTTGGCTCCATACTCATGCGGGGTGGTGGGGTAGCCTAGTGGCTAAAGCGTTCGCTCGTCACGCCGAAGCCCCGGGTTCGATTTCCTATTTGGGTACACTGTGTGAAGCCCATTTCTGGTGTACCCCACCGTGATATTGTTGGAATACTGCTAAAAGCGGCGTAAAACTAAACTCACTCACTCCATCCTAATGCTCAGGTTCCACTGAAGCAGCCCGGGCTGACATGTGGTGATGTAACTGAATAACTTGGCCAAGGAGCCTTAACTTACTCATTCATCTCTTACTGACATGATTAAATCTGTATAACTTTACCTTGGATGTTGCATTTTGAATTCTTAACTTGTTTGTGTCACTGGTTTGTAGATGCCTCGTCACTCACTCACTCACTCACTCATATGTTTTAGGGTTCAGAGGTCATGTGTCTGTTTTCAATATCGGAGCTGTTAAGGGAATTATAATTGTTTAATAAAATAGTTTTAAACACTTTTGGATATAAAGTATTGAAACCGAAGTAACTAATATAGATATTTCACGTGCTCTGTTTCTATGAAGATTCAACGACAATAATTCAGATTCAAAACAAAAGGTTCCTACCGTCGTACATGGTGAGGTTGTCACTGCAGATGCCGTGTGTGTCGTCCAGGTCCACGTCGACTACCTCGACGTATACGCGGGAACCTGTCGTCGTGGGATACAGTCTCCAGCTGCAGGATGCTCCACTACAAGAGAGGGGACAACGTCAGAACTGATGCTGCACGTACCTGTACTTCCGTTGTTATAAGTAATTCAGGTTAGTCGTCAATTTCTGTACCCAAGTCAAAACATTGCTTACACAGCAGTCTCGTTTCCTGTTGACTGGGTTCCGTCCTATTGCGCAACTTAGTACAATAACCAGTCCAGAATTTTAAGACCATTTCATTTAACTGGATACATAAATATTAATTAGTATTATTTGATACATCTAAACACTTGTGTATTGCAACGCTATGCTCCTTATAATCCTTGCAAACATGTCGTGCAGCGTGCTCTGTCGTACAGCGAGCACTGACAAACAGAAACCTGGAAATCGTGGAAATCACAAAACAAGGCTCTGCCTATAGAAAAGTTTGGCGGTGTGGTACGGACTTGATATTATATCAATCACATTGTACCTTACAGAACTGCTCTGAATAAGCGCACAAAGCACATAACAGGTGTAACCAGTGAGCCAGATGCATTGTGAATCATTTTACGACCTCATCAAACTGGGGCAGTCTGCGACGTCTTAGTTAAGGTCATGCTGCCTATACCTCGCCATAAAATACAGAAATACGATGTTATCAAAGTTTAAAATTGAATTCGTTTGTAAGCACCATTTTATTATGAAACAAGGCATTGGAACTCAGTGTAACCATAGTTGTTTGTGATGTCTATTTTCATTTTCACACGAGAAAGTTCGGATCGGCTGAAAAGTAGGTCATTTTCTGAACAGGTTAATGAGATTCATGTTTCGGTTTAATCAGGTCAATAGGTAATTACCTTATCATCAGGTCAATAGTTTATTTCTGTATCATCAGGTCAGTAGTTAATTTCGGTATCAACAGGTCAGTAGTTAATTTCTATATCAACAAGTCAATAGTTAATTCCCGTATCATCAGGTCAATAGTTAATTCCTGTATCATCAGGTCAATAGTTCATTTCTGTATCAACAGGCCAACAGTTAATTCCCGTATCATCAGGTCAATAGTTAATTTCTGTATCATCAGGTCAATAGTTAATTCCCGTATCATCAGGTCAATAGTTCATTCCTGTATCATCAGGTCAATAGTTAATTCCTGTATCATCAGGTCAATAGTTAATTTCTGTTTCATCAGGCCAATTGTCAGTTCCTGGTCAGGTCTATTATATTGTTTAGTTGGCATTTTAAAGTTGATGAGTCAGTAATGAAGCATACGACTTTATGGATGACAACATCTTGTTTATTGCCTAGAGCAAGGTTTCAGTGTAGATTGCTTCATAACGGTGAAAGAAAATCTATGGGTCTATCATATATTTCTATTTCATCAGGTTTATGATTAATTTCTATATCATTTGGATCAAAATGTGTTTCTATAGTATGATTTGGACAGTAATACATTTCGATAACAATCTCATTTGGCCTGGCAGACCAGTCTGTCCAGCGTTGGGTCGGACTGCCGACCTTAATGAGCAGGGGCTCCGTCCACTTGACCACGGAGGCGGTGTTACTGACCAGCAATCCGTTGCTGTTTTACTCACTTGCCATAGCTGCTGGGGTAGTTGGTGGAGAAAACGCTGGCCTGCTGGACCGTGGCTGCCAACTCCACATGACCCACACAGCTCTCCGCTGAAATAAACATAACACGTTGGTTTTGTGATTTGTGACATCAATCGCCAGTGGAAAGTTTAACAATATAATCTAACATTGCGTCCCAGATCAGGTGCAGCAGCTGCAAAGGACCTGTCTGCAATCAAGATGCTGGCACACAGAGCAGAATCTGATCCCCCGGACGAAGACAACAACAGAGGTCTATTTCATCAGGTTTATAATTAATTTTTGTATCATTTGGTTTAAACTGCATTTCTGTGGAATGATTTGAACAAACAATAATATTTCCATGTAATCATGTCAATCAAACAGTCACGCATACAATCACAGATACAGTCAGACATTCGGTCAGACATAGTCAGATACATAGTCACACACATACAGTCAGACATCAGGTCAGATATACAGTCACAGATATAGTCAGACATCAGGTCAGATATACAGTCACAGATACAGTCAGACATCAGGTCAGATATATACAGATACAGACATCAGTCAGATATAGTCACAGATCAGGTCAGATATACAGTCACAGATACAGTCAGACATCAGGTCAGATATACAGTCACAGATACAGTCAGACATCAGGTCAGATATACAGTCACAGATACAGTCAGACATCAGGTCAGATATACAGTCACAGATATAGTCAGACATCAGGTCAGATATACAGTCACAGATACAGTCAGACATCAGGTCAGATATACAGTCACAGATACAGTCAGACATCAGGTCAGATATACAGTCACAGATACAGTCAGACATCAGGTCAGATATACAGTCACAGATACAGTCAGACATCAGGTCAGATATATACAGATCACAGATACAGTCAGTCAGACATCAGGTCAGATATACAGTCACAGATACAGTCAGACATCAGGTCAGATATACAGTCACAGATACAGTCAGACATCAGGTCAGATATACAGTCACAGATACAGTCAGACATCAGGTCAGATATACAGTCACAGAATACAGTCAGACATCAGGTCAGATATACAATCACAGATACAGTCAGACATCAGGTCAGATATACAGTCACAGATACAGTCAGACATCAGGTCAGATATACAGTCACAGATACAGTCAGACATCAGGTCAGATATACAATCACAGATACAGTCAGACATCAGGTCAGATATACAGTCACAGATACAGTCAGACATCAGGTCAGATATACAGTCACAGATACAGTCAGACATCAGGTCAGATATACAGTCACAGATACAGTCAGACATCAGGTCAGATATACAGTCACAGATACAGTCAGACATCAGGTCAGGTCAGATATACAGTCAGACATCACAGATACAGTCAGACATCAGGTCAGACATCACAGGTCAGACATCAGGTCAGATATACAGATCACAGAATACAGTCAGACATCAGGTCAGATATACAGTCACAGATACAGATAGTCAGACATCAGGTCAGATATACAGTCACAGATACAGTCAGACATCAGGTCAGATATACAGTCACAGATACAGTCAGACATCAGGTCAGATATACAGTCACAGATACAGTCAGACATCAGGTCAGATATACAGTCACAGATACAGTCAGACATCAGGTCAGATATACAGTCACAGATACAGTCAGACATCAGGTCAGATATACAGTCACAGATACAGTCAGACATCAGGTCAGATATACAGTCACAGATACAGTCAGACATCAGGTCAGATATACAGTCACAGATACAGTCAGACATCAGGTCAGATATACAGTCACAGATACAGTCAGACATCAGGTCAGATATACAGTCACAGATACAGTCAGACATCAGGTCAGATATACAGTCACAGATACAGTCAGACATCAGGTCAGATATACAGTCACAGATATAGTCAGACATCAGGTCAGATATACAGTCACAGATACAGTCAGACATCAGGTCAGATATACAGTCACAGATACAGTCAGACATCAGGTCAGATATACAGTCACAGATACAGTCAGACATCAGACATCAAGGTCAGATATACAGTCACAGATACAGTCAGACATCAGGTCAGATATACAGTCAGATACAGTCAGACATCAGGTCAGATATACAGTCACAGATACAGTCAGACATCAGGTCAGATATACAGTCACAGATACAGTCAGACATCAGGTCAGATATACAGTCACAGATACAGTCAGACATCAGGTCAGATATACAGTCACAGATACAGGTCAGATATATCACAGTCACAGATATATACAGTCACAGATACAGTCAGACATCAGGTCAGATATACAGTCACAGATACAGTCAGACATCAGGTCAGATATACAGTCACAGATACAGTCAGACATCAGGTCAGATATACAGTCACAGATACAGTCAGACATCAGGTCAGATATACAGTCACAGATATACAGTCAGACATCAGGTCAGATATACAGTCACAGATACAGTCAGACATCAGGTCAGATATACAGTCACAGATACAGTCAGACATCAGGTCAGATATACAGTCAGATACAGTCAGACATCAGGTCAGATATACAGTCACAGATACAGTCAGACATCAGGTCAGATATACAGTCACAGATATATACAGTCACAGATACAGTCAGACATCAGGTCAGATATACAGTCACAGATACAGTCAGACATCAGGTCAGATATACAGTCACAGATATATACAGTCACAGATATAGTCAGACATCAGGTCAGATATACAGTCACAGATACAGTCAGACATCAGGTCAGATATACAGTCACAGATACAGTCAGACATCAGGTCAGATATACAATCACAGATACAGTCAGACATCAGGTCAGATATACAGTCACAGATACAGTCAGACATCAGGTCAGATATACAGTCACAGATACAGTCAGACATCAGGTCAGATATACAGTCACAGATACAGTCAGACTTTCGGTCAGACATAGTCACACACATACAGTCAGATATAAAAACAAACAGCAGTTGTCATCTAATTTCTTTCACCCGCAAGCCTCAATGAAATATTTACAAAAGGTTAAAATGTTGAAAAACCAACCACGAAATAACTGGGTGAGTTCGACGAACGTCCACCACTACAGACATGTTCTCCACGTATAACCATATGGCGGGGTTATCTTAGGCTCATTATTCACGAGTTCTTGGGATTCCAACATCCTTCTTGCTGTAAAGTTTAACATTAATGCAGTGACAGTTTTGATATTCCATGATATTCAAACCATGCAGTAATGTGTATCTCTTCCAACGACAAACACAGCCGTGCATGTTTGAATTTGTTTAAACCCTTTCCGAATGCTCTGTCAAGGGGCGGTGGGGTAGCCTAGGGGTTAAAGCGTTGGCCCCTCACGCCGAAGACCCGGGTTCGAAACCCACATGGGTACATTGTGTGAAGCCCATTTCTGGTGTCCCCCGCCGTGATGTTGCTGGAATATTGCTATAAGCGGCGTAAAACCAAACTTAGTCAGTCAGTCAGTCTGTCAAATTGTGAACAAGAACAGGTTATATGTTATACATATGTTCTGAATGGGCCTCGTTTTACGGTGGGCTGTTAGCGCTAAGGAGACAGTAATTCTCATGCTCTATTATCGACACACGGTAGTCGTAGCCTCATTCATCGCTCTGTGGAACACGCGATCACCTTTGTCACGGACATAGAGGCAAACACTTGGCACGGGATGTCGGTCCAGCAGATGACGGAGGCGTCCGACAGATGGCGCCACTCGTAGCCAGGTCTTCTTGATGTGCTCACCATGTCCAGTCACGAGTTTCCCTGTCTCGTAAATATTGCTGACTGCGGCGCTAAAGAACATTCACTCAGTTTAGTTGAAACAGTTGGCCTCAGCCACTACACTGATTACTGAGTGTGTGTGATTACTGAGGGTCTTGTTTTAGTTTCATTATCTGTCTGAAGCTCAAGAGGCCAACCATCCTCACTTAGGGGGTCGCTAATTAAAGTGAGTGAGTGAGTTTAAGCCGCTTTTAACAATATTCAACCAATATCACGTGGGGAATCAAACCCGGATCATCGACGTGACGAGCGAACGCTTTATCCACAAGGCTACCTCACCGCCCCGTTAGTTGGAAGTGAATGGATGAGTTGGCGAGTTGGGTATAAAGCGGTTTGATAGTGTTCCAGTTGTATCACTGCGCGCCAGCGTGTTGAGGGAGGAACACCAGGAGTGATGCACCACTTGTGTGAAACCCATGACCACAAGGGTGGTGCTGGCGGAGACATGATTGGGGCGAGCCGGGATTTGAGCCGGCCCATGGTCACTGTTTTCAAGCGAGCCCCAGACGAGCAGCAGCAGATGGCAGTCCCATAGGGGGCGGTGGGGTAGCCTAGTGGTTAAAGCGTTCGCTCGTCGCGATGAAGACCCGGGTTCGATCCCTGACATGGGTACAATGTGTGAAGCCCATTTCTGGTGTCCCCCTCCGTGATATTGCTGGAATATTGCTAAGCGGCGTAAAACCATATTCACTTACTCAGTCAGTCCCATAGGCGACAGGCTACACAAACCACTGCAAAGCTTAATGTTTTGGCTTTGTTCCTTATTCATAACAGCGAGGTCGGGATAGAGTTATTATCGTCTTTCATACGCGTTCTTTGTTCAAGAATCACTGATGCATGTTGCAGGTTTCAACCTGGGGTATCACATACACCTGTATTATACAGCAGCACTTTAGTATCAATGACCATCACTGGAGGTGGGCGTTTTCTGACAGCACCCTGTACAGCTTGAATAACGTCATTAACACAGGCTGGGTCTTACTGAGAGAACCCTCTAAACACTCGATCAATCAATGACGGAAACCGGATCTGCCCTGTGTATAGATGCACTGTAACGCTCCACATATCCCTGACATCTTGGTGAGTTGGTATATACATTAAACTTCTGTAACAGACCATAGGCACATGTAACTAGCTATATAGTTATAGGCTTTGGATAACAGAAAAGTGACAAAAAATGGGTGAGCGTGAGTTAGCGTAGATGCAAGCCAGTTGGGTACATTGACGTCAGCCAATCATTCACTGAACCTTCGACAGGAAGGATCCAAGATTTTAAGACGGAGGGGGAGTATGCGAGTATGGTTTTTCGCCGTTTTTAGCAATAATTCCAGCAATATTCCAGCAATATCACGGCAGGGGACTCCAAAATTGGGCTTCAAAGATTGTACCAATGTAGGGAATCGAACCCAAGTCTTCGGCGTGCCGAGCCAACGCTGTAACCACAAGGCTACCCCACCGCCCCTTTAAGACAGTCACATGGTGGGTGTTTAGCGTGTTGGGAGGATTGCACCACCTGTGTTATAAAGTCACACCACTGGGTGTCACGCAGTAGTACGGAGTATGGAAATAGGGTGGGGGTGCAATGCATTCAAAACCGTACCACCTCGAGTTACAGTTAATTCAGAATTGCCTGACATTCCCATATCTATCCGACTGTAACCATTCTCCGTGTGTCTGTTAGTCTCAGACATAGCAGAAAGACTGAGTCAAATTTCCAAGGCACACAAGACACATAAGATCATAAAGCAATTCACAAGTGAATACCAGTTGATAAACAACTTACCTGCAGGCATCACGTAAGTGCACACGAAAACCAGGTACCATGCCACCTTCTGGAAATGCATGCTGGAGGCGAGTCGAGTCGCCTGTGATATAACCGAGTACGTACACCTACCCTTTCAAGTCACCATACATACATGGGCTGTGTTGGGGTCTTGCTTCATCTATCCCGGGTGGGCGGGCTGTATCTTTAACCCTTTCTAACGCGTAACCAGTTTCACTGTCGTCCCAAACAAAATACAAATGCCAGTAAATAAATAAGTATTATAAACGTTGTCGACAGCATTTTATTTCATTCTTTGTTGCGTTGTTGTCGTTGTTGTAGTTGATGTTGCTGTTTCTGTGGTCTTTTCTGCTGTCGTTTTTGTTTTAATTACCTATGTTGTTGTAGTAGTTGGTGTTGTTGACGTTACCGACGTCATTGTAGTTCCTGTTGTTGTAGTTGTTGCTACTGGTTTTGCAGAGCCTTCTGTTGGTGGTGGTGGAGGTTGTGGTGCCGGTAAGTGCCTTCTTAGTGCCATAAGGATGTTGGATGTTAAACATTATATTAACATTTGTAACGTGAAATTTCATTTTTCAGTTATTCTTTTAAGTTAATATAATTAGATATCTCAAAAACCTTTTGTACATTAGGTTGAACACTATATTTGGACGCGTTTAAAATAATTACATTTAAAGAGTTAACACTGACTTAGTGTGCCAAGGAGATTTGTACTTGTCTCTGTATATGAACTCAACAGTCAACGGCGATTCAGCTTGCCTTCAGTGTGACGATGGTGTCATTGTCCGACACCTCTCACGGGTGTACTGTATGTCTATAATACCCACCTTTACCCCATAGAGTCACTGACAGAGCGAGTCAACACTGGACGGGATTTCTATACCTCCGCAGGCGATCATAATTCATAAATAGATCAACGTTTGGTCAGAGTAGAAGGTTCCTTTCAGACCTTTGACAGCCAGCTTTTTGTGACATTCCTGGCTGTTTGATAGGGTCAGTATCTATATATACACACAATGTCGCTGTTCTATTGGACGATTTTCTGCGTTTTTATGCCATTTATAGCAGTAAAGCTCGCAATGTTGGACACCAAGAATTGTACTTTGAACCCGGAACTTGTTAAGCGAGTGATTATTCTACCAGCACACCTAAGGCCTAGTGGGAACAGCTTCTACAGTAACAACCCCCTGAAGTCTGGCTTGTATGAATGGATATTGTTTTACGCCGCATCAACAGTTTCCCAGCTATTTGCGACGAGAAGTTTGGAATTTATACTGTTTTCAGCTGATGGTCGACTTGGTTAAGTCTAGGTGGTCATGAACTGCCTTTCCAAGAGTTAACACTGTATTGTTGATATGCTATCAAGTGATTCGAGTCGTCATGATGAAATGCATGAATAATGACAGTCCAATCTAGTGAGCACTCAATATCCATACTCAGCTTCCTGGGAAGTATACAACCCATGTTGCCTGTGAGACGCAAGAAGGTAACAGGACACATTAACTATAGGGTGAACAGAGGTGGATTCGGAGCAAACTGAAGCCACTTTCTGAAGGTGGTATCGCGTGTCACTCTTTCGGACACTTTCATGTGCAAAGCTGCTAAACTAATCCATCAATTAACTGGAGTAGCTTTCTTGTCAACACGTCACGCCGAACACCCGGGTTCGATTCCCCACGTGGGCACAATGTGTGAAGCCCATTCCTGGTATCCACCTCCGTGATGTTGCTGGAATATTACTAAAAGCGGCGGAAAACCTACATCACTCACTCACTCATCTCTCATGTCACCTGAGCCTTGTGCATCGTCTGTCCACCAGACCTTGAACACAATATACCCAATACAACCCAAGTCTACTCAGTAGGTGTCCTCTACTACATTGTCGGAAAATGGAGACTCCCGAGCTTCTCTCTGTTACATTTCTATAACAACTCTTTTCTTCTTTCTTCTATAAACTACATTCAGTACATAGAGTTAATGTTAGTATACGATGTGAATAGAAGCGCGAGATAAGATCGCTTTGTGAAACGAGCAGTAGCGTACCTGCCATTAGACGCTTTAGGCACGTGCCTACACTTAATTATTTCGGCATTTTTTTACATGTGGTATGTTATGGATATATGTTTTTCGAGAGCAGTCTCCGTTTCCATGAAATGGGATAACTCTTATGCTACTTTGATGCCAACATGGCGTCTAGCACATCAAAAACAACTGACAAGTATTTTAAGATTTCATCCGTGAAAGATGATACTAATGAGCTCCTCAGCCAGAGGAAAAGAAAGTATCCGTTCCAGAGTCCCATGCACCACCATGTTTAGATCCGGTCAATTATGGAAATGGTTTGGCTGGTCAGGAAAAGAGAGATCTCGTTACATCAAAATGGCAAGATTGTCACCTGTTCAAATTATGTTTATATATACTGAGTCACAAAAAACTTCACATTCTTTCTACAGGGCACTATGAAAGAACAAGAGATGGTAAGATGGTTAAATTGTTATTATTTCATTGCTGATATCTGTGTGATGTACTCGATACACTGACAGTGCCATAATCAGTTCCATTAGGCTACACCGCCGTACCAAAACATGGGTATACAGAATGTCAAGTCACAAGAATAAAAATGCGAAATTTCTCAGTTCAATATCGTGTATGGCCGCCCCGCGCATTCACCACTGCCAAACACCGTCTCCTCATCGACTGCCTGATGCTTGTGAACACGTGGTTGGGGATTCTGCGCCAAGTTCCTGCAAATTCTGAGGTTGGTTCCTAAGACCACGAAGCCTTCTCCCAAGTGCATCCCAAACGTGCTCTATTGGATTAAGGTCAGGGGACCTCGATGGCCAGTCCATGACGTTGATTCCAGCGTTTTGAAGGAAATTTCGTGTCAACATCGCGGTATGCGGCCGAGCATTATCATGCTGGAACTGTAGACCTGGGCCATTAGCCGCCATGAAAGGAACGAGTTCAGGGGTGAGCACCTGGTTGCGGTAAGCAGCAGCTGTGAGGTTTCCACGGATGACCAGAAGTCGGGAACGGTTGTTCCCACAGAAAGCACCCCACACCATGCAACTTCCGCCCCCGAATCTGTCGACTTCCTGTACACAACATTGGGCATACCGTTCACGACGTCGTCTCCAGACCCTGTGCCTGCCGTCCGCGAATCTGAGGGTAAACCTGGATTCATCGCTAAAGACGACTCGATTCCAGTCTCTCTGGGTCCATCGGAGGTGACGTTGGGCCCACAGCAGACGTTGACGTTGATGAAACGGCGTCAATATTGGCCCACGATATGGACGTTGAGAATGGAGATTGGCAACCCGCAACCGATTTCGAATGGTCTGTGAGGACAGTCGACCTCTAAACATCTCAGCCCTGGTTCGTGTAGCCGGCAGAAATCTGTCACGTAGGTGACGTAGGACGATTTGACGGTGTTCTGCTCGTGACGTCACACGTGGACGACCCGACCTTGGGCGATCAGAAGTGGTGCCAGTTTGTTGTAGACGACCTCGCAAGTCATACACAGTACGACGGCTGCAACCCATTGCTCTTGCGACGTCAATAACTGATCTTCCCGCTTGCAACATGCCAACGGCACGTTCACGTTGCACATTTGACAATCGTGGCATTTCAAGTACCGTTAGAACTGTGGTTTAAAAGTGTTTTTTCAATTCTTGAGGCCAATGCAAACATGTACATATGAAGAAAACTTCGATGCGAAGATCACGTGATCGACTGCACGTGCAAAACCTGATTTGGCACTAACATCATTTGCACGACGAATGGATGGGTTTGAGTGGGTTTTGCTAACGTTTTCTAGAGTCGAAAGATAGGGATCCCATTTCGGATACATAGATGTATCATCAGAAAAAAATTATTCCTTATTTTTCAAATTACATTTTGTGAAGTTTCTTTTTTGACTCAGTATATATAAAGTAATCAGGAGCTAGCATTCTAGCGTTTAATGTGTGTTCACAACATTACATGCAACAGTTGGCTTCAGCCGTTATAACTAGCACTGGTCCATAGAATTACAGACTCGTACGTCCAGGTGTGCCTACACTTCATTTCTTTCCTGGGTACACCCCTGACGAGGACCACGCAATAACCAAATTATAGAGAGAGAGCGATTTTTTTGCATATGAGGCCATACGACCTACAGTACAAAATAGTACATAATATAGTTTTTGAGTTACCAGATGTGTACATAGTATGGATCGAAGAAACGAGTTTGCTAACAATGTTCCACAAAATAAACGTAATTCAAATATTTCACAGAGTATAACCAAATTATGTCCCGTAACAATCGAAGGCCTGTGTTACAGCATAGGAACAAACTTCACGTGGATCAGTGTTTTGTGCAGATCTTTAATTCATTCATTCATGCATTCATTCATGCATTCATTCATTCAACTCGCAACAATATCCCAGTTGAAAGACTGCGGTCTTCAAGCAATCACGTAAGGCCAAGAAATCTTGTGATTGACATCTTACGCAATAAACATACAATGACAGGCATCAACCATGTCAGCTGGCCTGACCACCCGATCCCGTTATTCGCCTCTCACTAAAACTGGTTGCTGAAAACCGTATGCAGCCACGGTCTAAACAGGGCTAACCTCTTTCTCTCTCACCTGGTTGCCTGGTTACTCACCTGTGCATGTTTAAGAGCGACACATATGGCGGGTGAGTGACGGCTGCTGACGGCTGAGATGTCCCATGACCACATATGTCTCTGTTTATCACACATCTTACATTAACACTCGTAGTAAACATGCGTGGGCTCAGCAATAGTGTTTCTACTGGGAGAAAACACGATTACCTCCCCGATGTTGTGTTTTCACATGACGTGAGCAGGTAGTCTGTCGCCAATTGCGAACGATGAATTGTAAAGTTCAAAACCAGAAATACATGTAGTGTAGTAAACGACATACCTGTGAAATGCAATGAATACCTTGTACCAAACAATATCATATTTCTTAATTTGATACAAATCACTGGAAAACGTTGTTTAGAAACTATCATGTTGTTATGCGTACAAGTTGACATCTTTAACGGAGGGGGCACAACAATAGGAGGAACAGCACAAACACGGACTGCACGTGTTACACAACGGTACAGGAAATGACAGCATCAGAGGAGTCGTCTCACGAGAATTTTA